GAATAAATTTATCCATTTTTCAATTTTCTAACGTCCTTTTTTCATAGATTTTGGCTTCAAATCTCAGAATAATTTAGTGGATGGAGTTTGGGGGGTTCCCATTGATCATTTAGACACAAAATCTCAACATACAAAAATTTAAAAAATCATTTTAGTACTAAGTGAGGGGTAAACCGAAGGGAAATTTTAGTGTACAATCTTCAGGAATTAGTAAGAAATTAGAAGCATAAGCGGAGAATTAAAGGAATTAGTTGTGATAGATTCGAGGATAGATTTGGTGAATTAGTAAAATTAGGCCAGAGGTGGTCAATTCCTTAAAATATGTTCATACACAGATTTTAAATCTTCATTGATTTTGTAGGATTTTGAGGATTTTGAAAATCATCACACGATTTTACAGGATTTTGAAAGATTTTAAGGTGGATGTGGCAACTGATGGTACACATATTATCAATCTTAAAGGTAAACTATGAATGGAGTTCATATAAACAAGAAACAATGTGGGTCCCAATATAGACTCTTGGGAAACTCCACATGTTATATCTTCTGTTGTTGTAGTACCTAGCACATAGTACTTTTTGGTCCACTCGGATAGTCTTTCAACTATACTAAGGCCATTCCATTTTGTTCTAGCATTGTTATAAGTATGTCATGGTCGACTATATCAAAGGTTTTCTGCAAGTCCAGTAATACAAGTACACAATTTAACCCTTTGTCCATTTTGCTATATATGTATATCTGTAATCATGTCGGTTGCAGCTGATACTGTGCTTGAATTACGTCTAACCAGGAATCTGATGAATCAAAGAATTGTACAATTTGGTGATTGATACAGGCTCCCAAAATTTTTGACATGACTTGATAGCTTTCAGGTTGCTTTGAGTCACCTCCTTTAGACAGTGGTACAACTTTTGCCATTTTTATCAAGTTTGAGATTGATCAAGTAATAAGAGATAGATTAACTTAATTATTATAGGTAGTTTCAGCTTTATAAATTCCTTAATGACATCATTTTATGCGACTTCAAGTGATTTTGTGAAGTTTTGTTAAATTTTTAAAGATTTTCAGTAGATCTTACGAGTTTTTCTGGGATTTTGACCAGCTTTACACAGATATTGACCAATTAATTACTCCGAGGCTTAGTTGACTCCATAAAATATGATATTTTAAATCTTTATTGATTTTGTAATATTTTGAAAATCTTCACACAATTTTACAGGAGTTCAGAAGATTTTAGATGATTTTTGTGGTGATTTTGAAGTATTTTCAGGATTCTTAGAGATTTTTCCAAAGGATTTTCAAGAATTTCAAAGGACATATTTTGTAGGAAGTTATTGATTTTATAAGATATTGCGGGATTTTTTTAGTTTCAATAAAATTTTGTAGGATTTTATGAGATTTCAAGAGATTTTGTGGGATTTTGTTAAATTTTTAAGGATTTTAAAGACTTTCAGGGATTTTAAGTAGATCGTATGAGATTTTCCTGGGATTTTGAGCAACTTGTATACGGATTTAGACCAGTTAACCGCTTCTTGGAAAAAACAGGAAAATTAGAAGAATTACTTACCAACCATCCTGAGAATTAGGGTACCTACACATTTTTTTCCAGCGGTTTACCCCTCAACATTCTCTCAAATTTTATTTATTTTTCTAGAAAACTATCAAGAGAAAATTATGACATTTTAGGAGCTCATGATACTTAATAGGAAATCAGTGAAAATCAACTTGTAAAATCTAAATTAAGCAAAAATCCATCTTCTTATATTTTTTTTTCTGGAAAACTATTGAATGGAAAATTATGAAATTTTCGGGAGAGAGAAAGGAGAGTTAGGAGCTCATCATACTGAAATTTCAAACTTTTCCAGTGAAAAATAATTACATGAGAAATCAATGAAAATCAATTTGCAAAATACTTACATTCTCTAACTTTTTTTTTTCTGGAAAACTATCCAAGGGAGAATTATCAAATTTTCAGGAGAGTAAAAGAAGAGTTAGGAGCTCATCATATCAAAATTTTAAACTTTTCCAGAGAAAAATAATCATATGGGAAATCAATGAAAATCAACTTGCAAAATCCAAATTAAGTAAGTAAAAATACATTCTCTTACATTTTTTTTTTTTTTCTCAAAAACTATCCAAGGGAAAATTATAACATTTTCAGGAGAAATAAAAGAGGGTTAGGAGGAGCTTATCATACTAAAATTTCAAACTTTTCCAGTGAAAAATAACAACATGGAAAATCAATGAAAATCAACTTGCGAAATCCAAATTAAGCAAACAAAAATGCATTCTCTTACATTTATTTTCTTTTCTGGAAAACTATCCAAGGGAAAATTATGAAAATTTCAGGAGAGACAAAGGAGAGCTAGGAGCTCATCATACTAAAATTTCAAACTTTTTTAGTGAAAAATAACGACATGGGAAATTTTAAAAATCAACTTACAATAAATACCTACAGTCTTACACATTTCAAAGTTTTCCTGGAACTTTTTGTATCTAAATGAGACCAATAGAAGCTTTTTCCAGTGAAAAATACCCACAACTTTTTATAAAAGAAGAGAACTTTTCTCTAATGTAATTTAGTTTATCAAAATTTGCAGAGTCTGTCTCATCTTATTGCTACTGCTACCAATAATCAATAATTATCAATAGTAATATAACTAGTGCAATGAAAATTATTGATAATTTTTGGGAAATTTGCCCGAATGCAGTTTTACACGAGTGCCTTTTTCAGTTAAAAACGCATGAGTGCAAATTTGTCAAAAATTATAAATATATTTCCATTGCACGAGTTGTATTTAATGAGAGAATTTCATTAATCAAAAATTTAAATTTTTTGTCAAAAAATGTCAAAACACCAGTTTTCGCACCAGTTAGTATGCAATTATCTGATAATTTGCACTAGTGCAAATTATCACGTAATTCTAATCTGATTGGTTCAAATCAACAATCAAAACATGTCAGTTTATTGTTGGAATACCAGTTTTGACAGATGTATGAAATTCTCACTAATAGATATGTTGAATTAGCACAAAATAAGTACTAGAGACTTTCAATATTCAGTTTTTCAAGTTTGCAGAATCTGTTTTGATCTGCAGTTTAAAGAAAAGATACAATTCTGTCAGTGTTTCCTTAAAGGTCTGTTCTCACAGTAATCACAAACCAGTCAGAACCAATTTTATTGACAATAGTCAGGAAACTGGTTTGCATTAATTAAAAACGCTCTGGCTGGTTTGTGATTTCTGTGAGAACATACCTTCAGCATGTATATTAAAATTTATAGATTGTATTTTCTTGTTGGATTGTTGTTTTGTCCCTTCATATTTTCATTTTATTGGCTGTTTTATTGAGGACTAAACTATTTATCTTATGAAGTTTTGAATTTTGAAAATTCCTGCTTATTTCTTTTAAATTCCAATAAATTTCCTGTACAGGGTGTCATAGTGTCATGTTATAAAGTACCACCCCTGTAACTCTGTTATTTTTGATTCTACATAAAAAAGTTACCGGGAGTGGTACTTCATAACTTGACACCCTGTACATGTTTTAAGCATTTTTGTGCTGGAACTCAGTAGGTATTTGGTTCAGTTGCCGCTATTGTTAGTAATAATTTTTGCTCTAGATTTAATTTCTCATTAAATTGGCAAAGATATTGTAAATTTGACTATCCAATACATATTTCTCTCTTAAACAGGCAAAAGGTTTTTTACCTAACAAAATTTGTACAGTACTAACTGAGATATTTCCATGTATTAACAGATATTTCTATGTACCTTATAACAAGTTATTGCCAATTATTTTCATGTATGAAGAAAATATTTCCACATACATATTGCCAGGTATCTCCATTCTATTGACAGACTAAAATCAACTATTTGTTTTGCCAGAATTCTAGGTATTGACATATCCACAGGTATTTACATGTTATTAATAGGTATCAACCAATGACATTAACATTACCAAGTATTGACATATAATTAACAAGTAGGTATTGCATAGTACTGACACTATTGACATAGTATTTACCTGGTATTGACATATATTAACCAGTGATTTGAACACCGATTAACAAGGTGAAAAACTCCTCTGGAATAGGTATTATTATAACACTAAGGGCCGATACTTTTGCTCTCGATTAACGAATTTGATACGTTGTCAAAGTTTTGCATGGGCCAAGGCCTATAGGTATGATGTGGTTAGAGCACATTCAAACCCCTGATTATTTTTAACGGCTGCCAAATGAGAGCAAAAGTACCGACCCTGAATGAATTAGTCAAATACACACAAAATATGCAACAAAATTAAAAAAACTGATTCTCAGTAGTATCAGTACATAAAGGCCTATTTACATGTATCCACTCTCACTGGCATACTGATATCCTACTAGCAAGAAAAACATACACACTCTGCATTCGTTCCAGTGCCTGAACTGGCAGGAGCAGCTACTGGATACATGTAAATCAGCCTTAACAATTTACAGGTTATAATTTGAAGCACAATAATATTGAATTAAACTTTTCAAATAATTGACTTACCTGAAAATATTGAAACTTTCTAGCACTTATTTACGGAGTTCTGAAGTTGTTTTGCCATCCAAAACACAAACACAAGACATTTTTCTTGGAAGTTGCAAAGGGGATTTTAACCAAAAAATAAAAGGGAAATTTACTTAAAAAACTGAAACAGCGCGTAAAATAATTGAAATGTTTATAAAATGAATTGTTTTAATAATAAAAACATTAAAATTTCAACAAAAACCTGAGAAAATTGAAAAATAATGAACCTTTTAACCAACACAAGTTCTTTTTATTTTAATAATTCCCGCTCCACCTACCAGCCAACTGTTGAACTAATTAGCTGTCGCTCAACCAGCTGATGTATTTTTTGTCTTTGTTTAATCGTGTGCATTAAAAAAAGATACAGTGTTAATATTTTGACATTAGTGCATTCAATGGACGTAACAAATTAAACTTAAATGTATAGGAAAAAACTTTATTATTTTATAAACGTTCCAACTCTTGCGGCAAATGTATTTTATTATTAAAAGCAAATCTGACCAGGGCCTCATAGCGGCCCCTCATTCCAACCATGTCCTCCTTCATTTTAATAATCTCGTCTTGCATAGTTTCCATGTCTCGCCACTCTTGCGTTTTTTCCACTTCCAATTCGTCTTTTTGCTCGATTCTTTTGATTCTACACGAAGCTGCGTATCCACGGTTTTTCAACGTACGCCTTCTTTGTTTCATTTTGACTATTTCCTCTCGGGTAAGGCCCCGCATTTTTAGGGTCCTGTTTAAGTCCCGGACGCTAATTGATACTAGTTCATCGTCCGATATGTCCACTATAGGTGGAGGAGACAGTGGGGCCTGAAAACTTGAACATCTAATAAGGCAAATGTATACAAGAAGTACTTACAAAATGGGCACTGCTTGTTGATTTTCGGTCAGCTTTTCTAGGCTCTTGAGGCCCCATTTTTCGTAATCAATACCAATAATACACACAAAGAAGTTTAAAATTTGCAAGTCACTACTACTACTAACATTAAAAAGCAATCAAATCAATGTTGTTGATGTTTTTGTTCAATTTTGTAAGTTTATTATGATGATAGAAATCACACAAAAGTCAAATGTCAAAAAACTTGTTTCTATCCTGTTTTTTTTACAAGTATAATAAAGGACAACAATAGGCAGCCATTTTTAAAAAACCCTTAGCTTCATTTTACCAAGTCACAGTTAGGCAATTCAAACTACGTGACATTCAAGATGGCGTGGTGGCCACACACGGGCCAAAAAAAAATATATAGTTTTTGCCTGACTCACTAGTTTACGTACCTAGTAAACAAATTAACAGGTCATATTGTCCATCATTTTTAATATGTCACTTTCCGGATGATGAGCGAGGGGGTGAAGTTTATGGCAAAAACAGGTATGACGTCAGGTGATCATTGGCGTTCTAATGTAAGGTGCCACCAGCTCACATTTTTTTGGAGTAACAGATTAAAATCGTGGGACTTACTTCAACTTTATTTTCTATTTAACTATTATGGATCCATAATACCTAGGAAACGAAATACGTTTACATATATCCCTCGGGCCAGAGGCCCTCGGGCTAGTTTCGCTTTCGCGCATTATAATTTACATAAGTTCCCTTGGTACATAAATAGCTATTTTCTACAAACGTGTTAAAAATGCAATTTTTAACACCCCCCCGAAGCATTAAAAATGTTACTTTATCGCACTAGTGGCATAAAGTCTTTATAGCACTAGTGTTAAAAATGAAACATCAAATTTTGAGAGCGAACGTCAAAAAAAGTTTGTATTTTTAGTTATTTACATTGATAATAATGGTGAAATTTGAACAACTGAGGTAGCCCGATTGGCCGCCTCATCTATATTTTTCAAGGGATCGATGCAACCCTCTTTTTCTTCTGTATTTTGTTGCATTTTAAGCAAAAAGCATTACTGATCACGACAGACTTTCAAGAAACTGACAAGACATTTCAAACAAGGTGCTGGTTGTTTGGACTTTTTGACAAATGTCAAATTCAATAATTTTATGTAGGAAAGATGCTTCCAATTTATTATTCATTTAAAAATCCAATTTGTTACTGGTTATTGCTTTTTATTGCCGATTGTAGAAAAAATATTGTATGATATTTGTGTTAAAAGTATTTTTAAGGCACTTATGTGATTTGCAGAATTCGCTTCGCTCATTCTGCAAACTTTCACATGCGTGCCTTAAAAATGTACTTTTAACACTTATATCATAAATAGCTATTACTAACACTGAATTAGACTCTCAAATTCCCAATTAAACCCCTTGACAATAGTTATATCAACTGCCAGTTATGACATTACTTTTTGCACCTAGCCAACAATGGCACCCCAAACATATAAAACTACAAAAATAAAAGTAACTAATCAATGTCTTAAAACAACTATTCACTTTCACAGTCAGTGTTGCCAGATCTCACGATTATTCGTAAGATTACACGATTTTATTCAAAATTTCACGATCTCACGAATGAGGTAGCAGTTCTCATGAATTCTCTCTGTAGTAAATCAAATCACTACCTAATCAAATATAATGTGATCGAGATTAACCGAAATAAAAATCTACTATACAATATTTAGTTATGTTACACCGCTATTGGTACATGCGCGCCTGAACATTTAACGTAATATAGGACTGCCTATTGAGCTGAAAGTGTTTGCCAAGTCTATGAAACCCCACTATCTGTGACCTCAGCTGTAGACCTCAACTCTTGGAAGAAAATGCATTATCCGAGTCCAAAAAACGTGAAATCACCTTTTCTAAATTTAAAATTTCCAAAAAAATCAACTCAAAAGCATGGCCTGAATCACAAACAATCCATTGAGGTCCACTATTAGTTGCTGATAATGGTGACGTCATTCGCAGACCAGCTGGCGCCTCGAGAATTGACGCTTTATTAGGATGAGCAATCTTGCAGATGGTGAAAACAAAGTTCAGCTATCAGAAACACCTGCTAAAAATGGTGACGTCATTCGCAGACCAGCTGGCGCCTCGAGAATTGACGCTTTATTAGGATGAGCAATCTTGCAGATGGTGAAAACAAAGTTCAGCTATCAGAAACACCTGCTAAAAAACGGAAAAAAAACAAGGATACAAGATTTAATAATAAAATGTTTTATTTCTTATGGATGTAAAATTATGTTTACTTTATCAAAAATCTATGAAAAACATTATTGTGTTTTATTTTCTTACAATATTAGGCAATTTTTATAGTCTCAAGATTTTTCACGAATTTTATTTAATTCATCTGGCAACACTGTTCACAGTTCCAGCAAAAAGCAACAATACAGACCACCATACACTTCTCCCCCTGGATATTTTTTACGTAGCATACTCTTTGGGGGCCGCCTGATCCTCATAGATGGTTTCTTCTGTGGTAAAGTCTCTGTATTTAACTCTCCTGAGAACTCGCCATTACTAGGAAAGACTGATTTCAACCAGGGTTGCCAGACGTCCCAACAAGATAAAAATCAAATAACGAGACTGAATCGTAAGTATTTCATCGAGGTCTGCGGGTGACGTCACCACTTTTAGTTGCTGACGTGATGACGTCACTCACAGACCATGTGGTAGAAACAGTAAAAACCATAACATGGTTATAGAAAAAGTATAGTGTTTCACTCGTCAAAAATCATTTTTTGCAACTTGAAAACATTACCAAACTCGGCTTCGCCTCGCCTCCAACTTATTTAATATACAAATAACAATAACCTGTAATAATACTGATAAGATCTAACAAACTAAGGCCGGGGTTATCCGATTCCCGCTTCAAAAAAAAATGTTGCGTTTTTGCTCAAGGGGGTCCACATTTGGCACTTGCCCCTTCCCCCCCACCCGAGCTTTCCCTAAGGGTGAGTGCATATGATCTGCCAGTAGTTTCTGGATCATACACATTTTTCTTTATGACGTATGTTTTGAAACAAGAAATAGGCATCTTCCTAAAAGGCGTACCTATATCATATAGGTACCTATGCTTGTAAAATTTAAGAAATTCAATATACGTCCCATTAGTAAAATTAACGACAATATGGCAACGTTGCTCATAATACAACAAACGTCGAAAAATTGAAATTTAAAAGTAGGCCTTGGGTTTTTTGACAGTCGGTATAAAATGGCGTCTTTTTGCTTCAAAAGATCACGGTCCGAAGGGCCGAAGTATTAAAATCAGTTGACAATAAACGGGTTCGTATAACTCCGGCCCTTCTTCGGGCTCGTATGACCTCGGACCTTCGGGCTCATGATTAAAATAATTCCGGCCTGTCGGGCTCGTATAACTCTGGCCCTTCGGGTTTGCATAACTCCGGTCCTTCGGACTCTTATAACCTCGGCCCTTTGAGCTCATAATTGAGATAACCTTAGCCTTCCAGAATCGAGATTTGAAAAAAATATAAATGGCAACTCTGCTTATAATACAACAAACGTCAAGAAATTGGCCCTGTTTGGCTACTTTTTACGTATTCGCCGAGGCTAAATCTATAGGTATGTCCATGTGGGTTTTTTTTAATTTTGACAACTATCAATGTCAAAAATTTTTACCTTTTCTTTTTTTCAAAAAACAAATGTCAGAAAACGATCCCCAGGCTCCGAAAACACTAAAATAAAAAGTTTCATCGATATATTATGTCAAAAACCAACGGCATGGCAACGCCGAACGTTTTTTTTTTTGACATATGTTGAAAAAAAATGTGGTATTTCCACACTTATATGAGAATTTAATGAATTCATTTGTAGCAACAGTTGGTACAAAAAATTCAATTTCCAGTCAGGTTTGGAATTCCAATTTTTCAATTTTCTCGGCTCCTGATTGGTTTTGGGGATTTGAATATTTGATTATTCGGCTCTTGATTGCCTTTAAATTTTGAATATTCCCGGCTCTTAATTGGGTTTAAAATAACCTATAATCTCGGCCTTTCGAGTTCGAGATTTGAAAAAAACATATGGCAACACTACTCATGATACAACATACGTCAAAAAATTTAAATTTCAAAGTAGACTTTGGTTTTTTTGACAATCGATACAACATGAGGTCTTTTTGTTTCAAAGATTACGGCCCGAAGGGCCGGAGTAATAAAATCAGTTGACAATGAACGGAAAAAACTTTTGTCGATATTGACAGATGTCACCTGTCAAATTTGACACATGTTCGACTTTTTCTCCGTTCTACTATAAAAGCTACGAACAAAGTGGTGGAAAAAACGATCCCCGGACCCCAAAAACCATAAATAAGAATTAATACCAAAAAAAAAACAACGAAAATGACATCCCAAAAGCTACTTGATGGAACTAAAGTTTTTCTCACTTACCCCGTTGAAAAACTGGAAATTTTTGATGGAAAATGAAGAAAACTCAAAGCCTTGTACTTTAAATCAGTTTTCCCGACTGAAAAAGCCCCAGAAAAGTGAAAAATTCGAAGAAAAACTGAATAAAAATGTAAACACGTCAATTGAAAATGGCCGACTGTCAAAAATGCTTCCTTGATTGAAGTTAGCCATAAGCGATGTTGCCACATCAAAAGCATTTTAAATGGGATTCTGCTTATTATGGCATTTAAAACTAGAAATTTTTACTAAAAAATAAAGAAAACTCAAAACCTCGTATGTTAAATCGATTTTTTTCATTAAAAAAACCCGGAAAAGTCGAAAATTCGAGGCAAAAAATCATAAGACGTCACTTCAAAATGGCCAACTAAAAGCAACGTTGCCACATTTCATCACAAAAAACAAAAATATTATTTTAAAAGGGTTTTTTATTTAAAATTCCGTTTAATAATTAATTAACTATGATTATGATAATTAAAATTGCCCAAATAAATCATAGGAACCTTGTTTCTAGTTCAATTTCAATGAAAATGACATTATAAGGTTTATTTATTGATTATTTTATTTTATTTTATTTTATTTTATTTTATTTTATTTTATTTTATTTTATTTTATTTATTTTATTTTATTTACACCACTTCACAGAAATACATCCAATTATTGAGTGGGAAAACTTACAGCTATAAATACTAACTAAATACTAAAATAAATACATATTAAAAAAGCAAAGTGAGATACAAAAAAATACAGGAAAGAACAATTATGTCTGAGCTAAGCGCACGTTTTTAATTTCTGATAGACTACAGTTAAAAATGTCGCACTGATCCTGAACAGAATTATACATGTTGCATGCTCTGCGCAGAGGAGAGAATTTTCCTATATCAATTCTCGGTTTTGCCAAATAAAAGGTTTGTGGATTTCTTGATGATATCCGAGGTATATGAAAGTTGAGTTGTTCTAAGAGCTCAGGGGAGTCTATTTTACCGTTCACTAATTTGAATAAAAATTGTATATCAGCCGACTGCCTTCTCTCAATTAATATCCTCGTAGAAAAGTTTTCAAGTAGACGCTCATGAGGAAAACCGATTTCCGGGTACACTCCCTCACAATGAAACCAGAGATATTTTAGAAATCTCCTTTGGATATTTTCTAGAGCGTGGATATGAATTTGATGGTGGGGTGACCAGACTTGGGAAGCATATTCTAGAATAGGACGAACATATGAAAAGTATAATATTTTGAGACTATAAGTGCTATTAAAAGTCTTAGAATTTCTTATTATAAAGCTTAGCATTCTGTAACTTCTTCTTATTATATCGGAAATGTGAGGAAGAAATGACAGAGAAGTGTCAAAGGTCACCCCTAGATCTTTAAAAGAGTGTGATCTGGGTAGAGAAGAATTATCGATGTTATAATTAAATTCAATGGGATTTTTTTTGAGAGAATATGAAACTATACAGCACTTAGCAGCATTGAGTGGCAGATTGTTATTTTTATACCATTGGTTTACTAAAGTTAGATCGGCTTGAAGTTGAATGCAGTCAGATATGCTGTCCACCCTACAGTACAGTTTCATATCATCACAATATAACAGACTTTTGACATTAAGATTCTCGGATATTTCATTGATAAAAGAGTTAAAGAAGAGTGGACCCAGAATGGAGCCTTGTGGAACACCAGATGAGACAATGATTTTTGAAGAACTACGACCAAAGCATTCAACGTGCTGAGAGCGACCTGCGAGGTAAGATTTACATATATTAATAAGGCGGGAAGAGAAACCATAATGATTATGTAGATTTTCGACGAGAATGCCATGGTCCAGTCTATCGAAGGCTTTAGAGAAATCTGTATAGATAACGTCAACCTGTGAGCTTGAGTTAATTGCATCAGAAATATATTCAGTAATAGGCCTCTTGCACTTATTTTAATTTTTATCTGAAAACTTCTTAAATACCTTCTTAAACACAATAAATAACCCTCCATAATATTTTTTTCCAAAAAAAACTTCTAATTACCCAATTTATTAATTAACAAACTTCGGCCGCACTTTTCTAATTTGACGTCATAGGAAAAAGCTACGCCATTAATTGTGACGTCACGAGGTATGAACCGAGACGGCTGGCCTTAGCCGCCATACGTTTTATTATTATATTATATATACTCCTGGACAAAATTATCGCACCACTGCTTATGGTGCTTATGTGCAGTGGTGGTGCGATAATTTTGTCCAGGAGTATATTTAAATTAAATTTTTAATCCAACACAACTTTACAAATCTCAATATGTACTTACATCAAAATGGTCTTCACATAGGTAAACATGACTTTGTAATGAGATATCTTTAGGCTGCCATCTCATGGCTTCTAGCCATATTTTTCATTGTTTTTCTTCCATAGGTAGCTTTATAAAAGTTTTTCCAGGAGTGGAAATTGTTGTACTTCTACATCCTGGCACAATACAATACCGATAAACCATTGCAACTCAAAAATAATTTAAAACTTCGTCAAAAAATGTAAGGTTCATAAGAATCATGAGAACGTTAAAACAAAATAATACCTCGTGACGTCACTGACAGCTGAAATATCAAGGCTACGTTTTTAGCGGGAAATTAGCCAGTTTGAATTTTAATTATTTATTACGACCTTAATATTCCACGTATTTTGAAAATATTTTGGAGGGATACTATTTGAGTCTAATTAATCATTTTCATACAATAAAAAAAATATCTGCAAGGACCCTATTGTAATGAGGTTAGAAGTAGTGGATCTGCCTCGCATAAAGCCATGCTGACGAGTATCTATGAGATCTTTCATAGGGAAGTAAAGGGCAGTATGAAGAACGCGCTCAAAACATTTTGAGAAGTTGTTAATAATTGTGATGGGACGATAGTTTTCAATGAGATTTCTGTCGTTCTTTTTATGAACTGGTATGATCTTAGTGAGTAAGACAAAGATAACGATAAAGTAGTATATGTTTGCAAAAATCACTATTTTCTGAAAAAAAAAAATCCTAAAAAAATCCCATAGAAAACCAACATTCCAAAGTCAATTTGATAAAACTGAAGTTTTCGAATTTTTTCGGCTCTTTGATTGGACGCTAAAAATCGCATTTTAAATACTCCCGGCTTTTAATTGGCTTCAAATTATCTGCTGACCAATAGAATTATAGACTGAGCCTCGTGATTAAAATAACTCCGGCCCTTCGGGCTCGTGTATAATTCCGGCCCTTCGAGCTCGTGTATAACTCCGGCCCTTCGGGCCGGATTCACAGATTTTTGTCGTGAAGGCGCAGGATAGATTGAAATAATGTTATCAGATTTTTCTAAATTACCTACATTGAAATATCGAAATTTGTAAATTATTATTTCAATTAGGAATCAGGAATAAAAAATTGAGATGGAATTTTCAATTTTTTGAGGGAGGCTTTAGCCTCTCCTGCATCCTCTGACGAGCCGCCACTGAATGGTTAGTGCAAGGCAGTAGTAAACTTCCCTTATTTTAAGTTTCTGACATTTGGGACGACTTTGACGTTTCGCTTTGCGACGATGACGTAATTTTACTTAGAAAATTTATTTTTTACAGTAGTTTTCCATTTTACTGTGGGTAGCATCGAAAAATGGGTATCAGCAGAAAATCATAAACAAAAATAAACACTTTTTGAGGTTGAAATTTATAAACATAGCTATCAGCTGTCAAAATTATGAATACAAAATATATAAGGTAATACTCTAGCACCTACTACAGTCTTCCCAATAACTGTTTTTTTCTTGGAAAAATAGTGCTGATGCACTAATAAAATAATGTAGATCCTTAATACTGCGAGGCAGTATTTATTAGTTCCAGTGATGGTAACGGTAACACGTAGGTAGAGAATTTCCCTACATGAAGGGAAAAATTGATATTTTTTTTCTAGTGTAGGGAAGAGGGACAGAAATTCGAGAATTGGAAAAATGTAGGGAAATTCGGAGATTTGTCGTATATTGTAAAATAAAGAAGGAAGAAATGATATTTTGTCAAATACAAAATCCGATTATCGATAAACTTTACCCTAATTGGACTGCTATACCAATCTAAAGGGTATACCCGAGTACCTATATAGGTAAAAAAAACTTCCTTAGAGTTTGTTAATATCGCCTGGTCTACATTTGGAATCGAAAAAAAAAACCAAGCACAACCTAAATCGCAAACATCCCATCGAGGCCTGCGGGTGACGTCACCGCTATAAGCTGCTAATAGTGGTGACGTCACTCGCAGGCCCTACCGACTGATCTGTGGACTGTGACTAGGAGACATCCCTACCTTATCTGTGTACGTTTGCATTTAGGCTATCTACATCTTGGCAGAATTCTTTTCTTTTTTTTTTGGATGTCCTAACTTGAAACAGGAAAACGAATAACGTGTCAAGATGTATAGTTTTTCCAAAGTCTGTTGGAATAAGGTGAACATAAATCATAACTGGTGGCTGACTAGTAGCAATGCATTTCTTATGGAAACTTTCAGTGACCAGTCAGCTACCAGTTGGTACCTTGTTTCAATTTAGTTTGGACATACTATACCAACCTAATGTAAAATAAAACGTGGGGAAATTATAGGGATTTTTTTCTTTTGGTTGGTAGAGAAAATTAGAGAATTTTGTTTGTCTAAAAAGGGAAATCGTGAAAAAAATGTTACCATCACTGATTAGTTCCAATAACTCTCTAATGTTCTGAACACTTTCCTTATCATCTAAGTCTTGTTGGTGTACACTCCGTCTATCAAAATCAAAGCTGCAAGCAAAACTCGAAAAAAAATAATTAAAATAGGCATGAAAATGAAAACACATATTATTCAAAACCAATTTGCTAGCCGCCACGCCATATTGAATTTTACGTTTTGACACATAGATTAATCCTATGGTTAAACCAATAATTGTCAGTACCTAACTAAAAGCGAAAATGTGGCCTTAAAACCTCTTTAGTAGAAAAAATGCAATCAATTAAAAAATATTAACTCCAATAAATAATAATTCTTCATTATCAAAGATGAGCTGGCAAAGTGTAGGTCACTTTCTGATAGCCGGACATTTTTGGTACGGGTGCTACTACGATTGGTACCACGTTAAAATCCCTTCGTCCATAGTAGATTTGGGCGACTCAAAATTCAATACTCACAAATTAAAGTATTTAACTTATTGGGACGCTGTAAGTACCTTTTACAATAAATTACCAATTATTTAATTATTTTTTTTGTAGCTCATACAATCTATTTTCTTTACAATTTGCCTCCTAAACGATCTCGTTGGCACAAATGAACAATTTCCCAAGCGAAAACCTTTAATACGACATTTCAAAGATGCTGTAAGTGTAATAATTGAAAGATTTCCAATAAATTACTAATTATTTTTCTAGCTATTACCCATTCTGGCATTCCCATTGTCCATGTTTGTAGGTTTAACATTTTGGGGCCTCTACGCTTTAGACAGGGAATTGATTTTCCCCAAAGTCTTGGATCAGTATTTTCCAGCATGGCTTAATCAGCTAATGCACACCAACATAATGATATTTTCATTTTTAGAGTTGCTAATCTCCTATAGAAAATATCCTTCTAGAAAAACTGGCTTAACAATCTTACTAGCATTTATGTTAATATATTTAACTTGGATCCATTATGTACATTCTTATACCAACAAATGGGTGTATCCCATTTTGGAAGTTATGAATTTTCCTATGAGGATTGGGTTTTTCATTGTTATGGCTTTGTTTATAGTGGCTATGTATATTATGGGGGAGACTATTAATAGGTTTTGGTGGGAGAGAAAGTCCACTAATAAGTCGAAAAAATTAAAACAATAATAGTTAGGGTCCTAATCATTGTTGACTAGTTTTGTGATATTTTTTTTTAGGCAGAAAAATACCAAATTTAGTAGTTTTGTATTCATTGTCTTATACCTACTTGTTATTATTGGAATAAAACATGTTTAATTCAGTGCAAAAAAATGTCAGTCTTTATATTATATACCTATTTACAAAATAAATTACTCAATTATCATTGGCTCTTGATTGGTTTTTTTCATTATTATTGGCTTTTGATTGGTTAGATTGTGCTTCTGAGTCTTGAAATATGATCAAATTTTGATTATTACCGGATCATGTAAGCAGTCAATGGTCCAAAATTTTAGTTGATTGGCTCAAGATTGTAATCAAAAGCCAGGAACAGTGTCACACAATTCAAAGTTTTCCTGGAAAACTAGTTGAGGGAAAAATTTGAAACTTTTTGCATAGGAAGAGCAAGGTTAGAGGCTCATTTTACCAAAATTTCAAATTTTTCCAGTGGAAAATAACATTGAGAATCTTGGAAGTCAACCTACAATATTTGAATTAATTGAAAGTACAATCAAAGTTTTCCTGGAAAACTAGTAAAGGGAAAAATTTGAAACTTTTTTGCATGGAAAGAGAAAGATTAAAGGCTCATTTTTCTGAAATTTTTCCAGTGGCAAATAACAACATATGAAAAATCTTGGAAATCAACCTAAAATGACTAAATTATTTGAAAATACAGTATGACACATTTCAAAGTTTTTCTGGAAAACTAGTGGAAGGAAAAATTTGAAACTTTTTGCACGGGAAGAGGAAGGTTAAAAGCTAATTTGCCCAAAATTTCAATTTTTTCCAGTGGAAAATGACAATGATAAATTGTGAAAATCAACCTACAATAACTGAATTAATTGAAAATACAATCTCACACATTTCAAAGTTTTCCTGAAAAACTAATAAGGGGGAAAATTTGAAACTTTTTGCATGTAAAGAGGAAGGTTAAAAGCTCATTTTCCCAAAATTTCAAATTTTTCCAGTAGAAAATAACAACATGAAGAATCTTGAGAATCAACCTACAATAACTGAATCAATTGAAAATACAGTCTCACACATTTCAAAGTTTTTCTGGAAAACTAATGAAGAGAAAAATTTGAAACTTTTTACATGGAAAGAGGAAGGTTAAAAACTCATTTTTCCAGAGAAACATAACATCATTGAGAATCTTGAGAATCAACCTACAATAATTGAATCAATTGAAAATACAGTCTCACACATTTTAAAATTTTTCTGGAAAAGTAGTAAAAGAAAAAATTTGAAACTTTTTGCCATGGGAAGACGAAGGTTAGAAGCTGATTTTCCTAAATTTTCGAATTTTTCCAATAAAAAATAACAACATTAGGAATTTTGGAAATCAAGCTACAATAGGTAACTGAATTAATTGAAAATACAGTAGTAAAGTTTTCCTGGAAGAAGAAGGTATTGAATCAAGAAAATTTTGAAAAAATAAAAAATTGGCAACGTTGCTTAAATGCTTTGACATTAGGATACTGTTGTCAAATGTTTTTAAATTACAAAAAATACAACAAAGAAAAACATTATCAATAAAAAGGTACAAGAACATTTTACAAAGTTGCCACATTGTAAAAAAAAACACTTCAATAGGTACGTCTTTGAAACATAAATTCCACAGTACATAAAACTGAGAACACTGTTGCCATATCCTCAGGAAAAAAATACAAATCCAGTAGGAGCTAAATTAACTGGATTTGATGATGGAAATGATGAATTCATTTTTTTCCTCTATTTCGCTCAATTTAAGTTAATTTTCTCGAATTTCTCAGGTAGTTATTTTTCACTGAATCATTATGAAATTTTAGTATAATAAACTCCTTTTCTTTCTCTTTTCACCTTAAAAAATTCAAAGTTTTCCTATCACTAGTTTTTCATAAAAAAATGAAAATATGAGAGAGTGTATTTTGCTCAATTTCCTATTTAAAAGTAGATTTTTTAGAATTTCTCACATGGTTATTTTCCACTGAATCAATTTGAAATTCTAGTATAATAAACTCCTTTTCTTTCTCTTTTCACCCTGAAAAATTCAAGATTTTTTCTTCACTAGTTTTCTAAGAAAATATCAAAATGTGACTAATGTGAGACGGTGTACTTTCTTCAATTTCTTATTTGGAAGTAGGTACATACTTGTAGAGAGAAAAATTTGAAACCTTTTGCATGGGAGAGGAAGGTTAGAGGTTGATTTTACCAAAACTTCAAATTTTTCTACTGGAAAATAACAATAGTGAGAATCTTGGAAATCGACCCACAATAACTGAATTAATTAAAAATACAGTCTCACATATTTCAAAGTTTTCCTAGAAAACAAGTAAGGGAAAAAATTTGAAACTTTTTGTTTATGAAGAGGAAGGTTGGGAGCTTATTTTCCCAAAATTTCAAATTTTTCCAGTGAAAAATAATAATAACATGACGAATCTTAAAAATCAAGCTACAATAATTGAATTAATCGAAAATACAGTCACACACATTTCAAAGTTTTCTTGGAAAACTAGTGAAGTGAAGGGAAAAATTTGAAATTTTTTTCATGGGAAGGCGAAGGTTAGAAGCTCATTTTCCCAAAATTTCAAATTTTTCCAATGTGAAATAACAACATTGAGAATTTTGGAAATCAAACCTACAATAACTAAATTAATTGAAAATACAGTCTCAAACATTTCAAAGTTTTCCTGAAAAACTAGTGAAAGGAAAATTTTGAAACTTTTCGCATGGAAAGAGGTCGGTTAGAGGCTCATTTTTCCAAAATTACGAATTTTTCCACTGGAAAATGACAACATGAAGAATCTTGAAAATCAAGCTACAATAACTGAATTAAGTAATTGAAAATATAGTTTCAAACATTTCAAAGTTTTCCTGAAAAACTGGTAGAGGGAAAAATTTGAAACTTTTTGCATGGGAAGAGGACGGTTAGAGGCTCATATTTCCAAAATTTCGATTTTTTTCAGTGGAAAATAACAACATTGAGAATCTTGGAAATCAACTCACAATAACTGAATTAATTAAAAATACAGTCTCACATATTTCAAAGTTTTCCTAGAAAACTAGTAAAAGGAAAAATTTGAAACTTTTTGTTTATGAAGAGGAAGGTTGGGAGCTTATTTTCCCAAAATTTCAAATTTTTCCAGTGAAAAATAATAATAACATGACGAATCTTAAAAATCAAGCTACAATAATTGAATTAATCGAAAATACAGTCACACACATTTCAAAGTTTTCTTGGAAAACTAGTGAAGTGAAGGGAAAAATTTGAAATTTTTTTCATGGGAAGACGAAGGTTAGAAGCTCATTTTCCCAAAATATCAAATTTTTCCAATGTGAAATAACAACATTGAGAATTTTGGAAATCAAACCTACAATAACTAAATTAATTGAAAATACAGTCTCAAAGTTTTCCTGAAAAACTAGTGAAGGGAAAATTTTGAAACTTTTCGCATGGAAAGAGGTCGGTTAGAGGCTCATTTTTCCAAAATTACGAATTTTTCCACTGGAAAATGACAACATGAAGAATCTTGAAAATCAAGCTACAATAACTGAATTAAGTAATTGAAAATATAGTTTCAAACATTTCAAAGTTTTCCTGAAAAACTGGTAGAGGGAAAAATTTGAAACTTTTTGCATGGGAAGAGGACGGTTAGAGGCTCATATTTCCAAAATTTCGATTTTTTTCAGTGGAAAATAACAACATTGAGAATCTTGGAAATCAACTCACAATAACTGAATTAATTAAAAATACAGTCTCACATATTTCAAAGTTTTCCTAGAAAACTAGTAAAAGGAAAAATTTGAAACTTTTTGTTTATGAAGAGGAAGGTTGGGAGCTTATTTTCCCAAAATTTCAAATTTTTCCAGTGAAAAATAATAATAACATGACGAATCTTAAAAATCAAGCTACAATAATTGAATTAATCGAAAATACAGTCACACACATTTCAAAGTTTTCTTGGAAAACTAGTGAAGTGAAGGGAAAAATTTGAAATTTTTTTCATGGGAAGACGAAGGTTAGAAGCTCATTTTCCCAAAATTTCAAATTTTTCCAATGTGAAATAACAACATTGAGAATTTTGGAAATCAAACCTACAATAACTAAATTAATTGAAAATACAGTCTCAAAGTTTTCCTGAAAAACTAGTGAAGGGAAAATTTTGAAACTTTTCGCATGGAAAGAGGTCGGTTAGAGGCTCATTTTTCCAAAATTACGAATTTTTCCACTGGAAAATGACAACATGAAGAATCTTGAAAATCAAGCTACAATAACTGAATTAAGTAATTGAAAATATAGTTTCAAACATTTCAAAGTTTTCCTGAAAAACTGGTAGAGGGAAAAATTTGAAACTTTTTGCATGGGAAGAGGACGGTTAGGGGCTCATATTTCCAAAATTTCGAATTTTTTCAGTGGAAAATAACAACATTGAGAATCTTGGAAATCAACTCACAATAACTGAATTAATTAAAAATACAGTCTCACATATTTCAAAGTTTTCCTAGAAAACTAGTAAAAGGAAAAATTTGAAACTTTTTGTTTGTGAAGAGGAAGGTTAGAAGCTCATTTTCCCAAAATTTCAAATTTTTCCAATGGAAAATAACAACATGAAGAATTTTGAAAATCAAGCTACAATAATTGAATTATTTGAAAATACAGTCTCAAACAATTCAAAGTTTTCCTGGAAAACTAGTAAAAGTAAAATTTTGAAACTTTTTGCATGGGAAGAGGACAGTTAGACGCTCATTTTCCCAGAATTTAGAATAACAATAGTGAAAATCTTAGAAATCGACCTATGTACAATAACTAAAATACAGTCTCACACATTTGAAAAGTTTCCTGGAAAACTAGTGAATGGAAAAATTTAAAATTTTTTGCATGGGAAGAGGAAGGTTAGAGGCTTATTTTCCCAAAATTTATTATTTTTTTAGTGGAAAATAACAAAATGGAAGAATCTTGGAAATCAATTTACAATAAAGTTTTTTTGGAAAACTAGTGAAGGGAAAAATTTGGAACTTTCTGCATGAGAAGAGGAAGGTTATATGGGCTCATTTTCCCAAAATTTCAACTTTTTCTAGTGGAAAATAACTTGAAAATCAACCTACAATAACTGAATTAATTGAAAATACAGTCTTTGGCTCAAGTATTCCAATCAAGAGCCTGGAATAGTCAAATATTTCATTGTTATCAGCTCTGTATCCCAATCAAAAGCCAGAAAATCCAAACTACTTCTCATCCAATAACAAATCCAAAAACGATCTTGGATTATAGCTGGGTTGTTCGCCCCCTAATTCAGCAGGCAAAATATCCCTTAAAAAAATTTATTTAAAAAAAAAAATAAATACCACAAAGAACCTACATACCTGTGCACCATCTGATGCAAATTACTCATATTATTCCCGTGACTAAAAATCCTCTCCTTAATTTCCTCCTTTAAAAACGGCTTTGTAACAGTCATTGCAGCATCCACGTACCAAGGCTGTCCAATAAAATGCACTCCCTTGAAAACAGCAGGAAAACAATCCTGTAGTCCTTCAATCATTAGCCTTAAAATCGACGGTTTAAGATACGAAGTTTGTCTGTAAGTAAACTCTGTCCAATCGACAATCACCACAAAACCGTTTGCCTGATTGTGCAAATCGTTGGTTAAATATTCTAGGCAAACCATTAAGGCCCTGTAAATTGTCATGAGGCTGTAAGAACAATCCCAATTGTTGCCTGTTAATAAAAGGACGCAGCGGCCTTTGCGGTCTTTGTCTTTTAGCACACCTGGCAGGCCGTTTTCTAAAGCTTTTCTTACGTCACTAGCACTTAAACTCAAGTCTCTGAACATTTCCGGGTTTCTTTTGCGGTAATAATAGTGGTTTTTGATTAGTTCAAAACTGTCTTCTAGTATAAACTTTCTGGCAAATAGGAATTTTTGTAGAAAGGCATCATCGTCCAATGGGAGGTTGTTTTTTAGGTCAAAATCGTCACAGCTTTTTATTTGGTTTCTTAGGGCTTTGATTGCAACGTCTCGGTCGTTTGCGGTGATGTTTTTGAATAGGGTTTTGTTGATTGATTCGGTTATAAGGTCACTGTTACGCCATCCGTAGTCTAGGTATTCGGCCATTTTAGGTGCCTGAAATTATAATTATAAGATTATCTCTCTCTTGTTTGAGTGATTATAAAGATAAAAAGTTTATTGGTAATAAATTGTTGTCTATGGGATTTGGGAAATGTATATACAGAGTGAAATAAAAATTAATCACAAGATGGTTTCTTAACATTCTGAATCCTAAAAATTTAGGCTCCATTTTGCATTTGGACTCGAAGTTTGGAATCTAAAGACAAATAACTAAAGTAATTCTTTACCCCTTGAGGCCCTGAATCCATGCGACCATCACATACAACCATCTTAACTTTTGAGTAACTTTCTAACTTACTAAACTGAGATTTGAAATTCTGACAGGATTGATTTCAATCATAAAACACTTTAGATTCTAAGATAACTTGTCTCAATGAAAAAACATGCAAATATTATTATTGGCCTTTAAATATTTAAGCAATTTGAGTCATTGTTCGCTATAGACAGAAAACGGAAGTTTATTAAATATTTGTAGTGCTTAATAATGCATAGAACAATAAGGGGGTGCGTGACCGGAATATCAAAATATTGACGCGTTTAATTACAAATAATAAAGAAATCCTACCTTTAATTAATTCATTTTTTTTAATTGGGTTGCACAAATCACGAAATTAATAATTTTTGTGTTTGCAACTTTTTCGATAATCGCCTTAAATATACTGATACAAGATTAGATACAGTTTCCCAATCAAAAATTATCATTAGTATAGTGAAAAAGCCTAATCAGTTTTTGGTTTTCCTTGACAGTCCAAAAACAACAATTTATTATGATTTAACTCAAGGTGAAACTTATTACTATATTGAACAATTATGAAACTTACCTAATTATTATTAATGATAGAACACATATAAGTATAATACAAAATTCACAAATTAATAATATCTAATATGAAGTTTTTAGTGTGGACATTCTTTATAGTGGCGATGGTCAATAGCGACTAAGCGGTACCCATGATTAATAAAAAACGTAATAGTCGATGTCAGTACCACCATAGTACCGTGATGACGCGGCGCGATGGTACCCCGGCGTAATGTGGTCTAGCCTTGAAGGCACCTTCCTGTGCAGTTATCATGAATTTAGGTTTCATGTTAGACATGTTTTTAGGTTTCGCTTCTGAGACACAAAATCAGGATCAGGAAATAAAATACTTCTAACAAATATACACCAGTTTGGGATTTTGTTAGATAATTTTATTGTTAATATAGTATCTCGCTATTCAAAATTGTTTTGAACTTTTGAAAATGTTTCAGGTTTTTTTGGTAACATTCAAATTTGTAAAACATGTTTCATGTTTTATGTACTTACCTCTACACTAGTTCTAGTTGAAGTTGCAGTTCTTTAGATTTTTAAAACTTTAAAAAATCATAACTTTTTTTCTATTAGATGAGATAGTAAGCTGAAATTTTCAGCGTTTCTTATTCCAGTAGATGAATACAATCCCTGAAAATTTCAACTCATTTAGATTCAAAGTTCCTGAGATAAAATCGTGTTAGGCAATTTGGAGTGATTTATCTACCTTATGATTTAGATTTTGGGAAAGTTTTAAAGGTCACAACTTTTTCTCTATTATAGATAGAAAGTTGAAACTTTCACTGAATTTTGTCCCAATCAAGGGACTACAAGCCCTGAAAATTTCAGCTCATTTGCACTTATAGTTCCTGAGATAAAATCGTGTTAAACAATTTGGGGTGATTTATCAATTTTTCAATTTTTCTAAGTGTTTTTTTTTCATAGATTTCGGCTCCAAATCTGGGAATAATTATGTGTATGGAGTTTGGGGTATGTTGATTGACCATTAGGATACGAAATCTCGACAAATTTTTTTTTTGAAATTTCATGGTTTTAGTAAGAAGGTACCCCCCTTTAGATTTTTTTGGAAAATTTTGAAAGGTCATTACTTTTTTTCTATAATAGATAGAAAGCTGAATCTTTCACTGAATTATATCTTTTTCAAAGGACTACAAGCACTGAAAATTTCAGCTCAATTGCACTTATAGTTCCTGAGATAAAATCGTGTTAAGCAATTTGGGGTGATTTATCAATTTTTCAATTTTTCTGAGTGCCTTTTTTCATAGATTTCGGCTTCAAATGTAAGAATAATTTAGTGTATGGAGTTTGGGGGATCACAAATGACCATAAGAATATAAAATCTCCACAAAAAAAAAAAATCGAAATTTCATCTGGCAACAGTAGTGTGGTTGTTAATATATCAGAGGCACCCACGAGCATAGACTTAAAAACTGATAATCCTCTCTAGTTCCTGGAAAACTGGTTAATTTTCTACCTCGGGTTCCTGAAATCTGGTTAACCAAATGTCAAAATAGTTACCGGCCATCGAATGTCGCTTTTGTTGGTTTTATCAAGGTTTTATCTGTAACTTCTGTCAATTATGTTTTATTTCCATATTTGCGTTCCCCAAAGTAACCGGAATTTTCAGTAAACATCTGTTGACCGATTCGGTTACTTTAGCTCTGTTCCAACAGACATGAAAACCTTTCTAGAACGGTAATTTCCAGTCGATCAATCCATTTGTCAAATTAGGAAAAACCCCCCCAAGACCCTTAAATTTTATGAATATTTCTTCAAAACCAAGATAAACAGTCCCAAAAATAGCGTAAAGAAACCTGAAGAGGGGCGTGGCACCCAAAAATTTCGCGCCTGTGGCGCTTTGCCTCTGGCAGCGGTCGCGGTAGGGCCGCAAGAGACGCTTCCTGCAAATTTGCCCCTCCCAAGACAAAATCCTGGCTACGCCACTGCCCTGAGGAGGCACTTTTTACCCACCTGCACTGTAATCCCTCTTCCGTAAAGCCCTCCATTAATCTATTTTCAAAAGGCTCTTACCCTGAGATGGCACTTCATTATATCCCTTCACTTTCTTGAAAACTAAAGAATATTTAACCAATTCTTGCATTTGTATGTGAATTGATCAATTTTAGGGTTGGCCCGGGTCAAATCACCAAAATTTCAGATCAAAAGCGCCGCCGATCAAGAGATTTTCCCACGGTATCGAAAAACTTCCCAGGCTCAAGTGCCCCCGGCTATCAGACCAATACCCACCTCTACTACGTAAGTGGTCCACCAGATTCACAAGCAAAATGTTATTATTGCAATGGAGTTTAGAACACTATTGACGAACACAAATGCAGGAATTGTTGAAATATTCTTTAGTTTTCAAGAAAGTGAAGGGATATGAAAAGAGGTACCTCTTCAGAGTAAAAGCTTTTTGACGTAGGTAGTGGAAGTGGGTATTGCTCTGATAGCTGTGAGGTGGGTATTGGTCATAAACAGGTGCATTAATTTTATTGCAATAATAAATATTTTGCTTGTGAATCTGCTAGTCTGATAGCTGGGGGCACTTGAGCCTAGGAAGTTTTTCGATACCGTGGGAAAATCTCTAGATCGGCGGCGCCTTTTGAAAATAGATTAATGGTGGGCTATGATGGCTATGCTGGAGGAGGGCTTTTACGTGGTAGAAGTGGGTATTGTTCTGATAGCTGTGAAAACACTCTACTCTTTACCCTTATAGTCGTCCTTTTTTTTCCAATTTTAGCAGACACCGCAAAAACCTTACGCAAGCACCAAGCAACACTAGCTCCCGCAGCTGGAAAACGAATATGGAAAGGTGTGAACTACGTTGTTTGAAATGTATTACCATTCCCTTCTTAGTTCTTAGACACTCGTCTGAATGTAAAATAAAGAATGCTGGTAAACGTTGTTGGGCGTGGCTTCTGGAGAAGTTTTTTCGCCACCGGCGGGCTGTTCACCCCCCTCATAAATGCCGGTGCATGAACATCAGCACCCACGAGGTTTTCTGAAACCCGGTACCCCTGTAATATATTATGCCAATATATGAAAAGTTGTATCAAGAATTTATGAAGGAATATACCTATAGATTTGGAGCACTGAACCAAATAACTCATTTATTTCTAATTATAATATGATTTTTACAGGGAGGATGCTCAAGTTCCACAGGATATTCCGTTAATTAACATTCAAATGGTGGGGCCCACAATACAAAAATGATTTGTTGTCAATTTTGATTCGTTTAAGGCAGCAACCTATGTGATTTCAAGGGATTGTACTAAAATGTCTGTATGTAAAATAGATCATTCCAAAAAATATTGTGGCCAAGTAGGTATAAGGTTTGTTCAAATTATCAGCCAGAGCCAATCAAATCCATTAGACAATTTCAAACAACTTCTAGCTGAATTTGCAATAATCATTTCACAAACACTCACATAATAAACAATATAATGTTTTGTTTATTATTTCATTGCTCCCACCCGATGATTATACACGATAAAGTCCATGACTCAAATATCTGCAGTTGCCAGTAATCTGCAATCCCTTGCTCAGCATGTATCAAGTTTAAAAAAAATTAAAATTATGTCGGTCTTATTGGATAACATTACAAATTGTGTCTGTTTGGCATTTGAGGCTTTGCAACAAGACAAAACGGGCTTTGTTAACAAGTCTAAATTAAAGGTAATTTGTTAATAGTTTTAATTCATATAAATATAAAAGTAGATTTCTCTTCATCAGGCCTTGACGCTCCATATCAGGCCAAAACCGCTGTTCTTGTTTTTATAAACTTGAGCCTACTATATTTGGCTTTTTCAGTTAAAAGGTCAACTACATTTTTAGGTCCTAACGGCAAACATCGGCACCCTGCTCGATTTGTACGGCGTCGAACGAGGCCTGGAACACTACAGAAGTACCACAACTTTAAATTTTGAACAATACAAGTACTATTTGCAAAATGAGGTTTTTTCTTCGTTGCCAACAAAGTTGCCATTGGCCGAACTGCGAGACTATGAAAGTAGAATAGCTGAGGTTTGCTGGCTTGTGTGCAGAAAACGCTACTTGCAAAGGGACTACAAAATATTTACAAGCGAAGCTGTTTTTCAATTGTACAGGGTGTTTTGTGTTTTGGCCGAGTTGGTTGTTGACAATCAAAACGAACAAACCTTATTGCTACATCCTACAGAGGTAATTAGTATAGTAACTGAAATATTATTTAATTATATAAAATTATTATAGGTATGTAACATAGCTCAAACAATATCGAGTTCCTTGGGTTGTACATTTGACGAAGAAGATTTCACAAATTTAAGCATTTCTATGGGTAACGTAAGGCTTACTCCGTTTATAGCCCTTTTAGAATCGCGTTGCGTTATTGGCATTAAAGATACCAAAGCCATAAGAGAAGCAATAACAGAAGTCTACCAAAAAATCGTGGAAGACGTCATTAAAAAAGGCTACCTAACAAAGAAAGGCTACATCTTTCCGACAATGAGAGAGTTCTGGTTCGTGCTTAGACCTTCAGAGTTGACCTACTACAAAACCCGATCAGAAAAGGACAAGAGTGGCTCATTAACAATAGAAGTTGGGACAAAAATCGAAGCTACAACGGGCTACAGGATTATTTTGCACGGTACTGAGCGGAATTTTGAGCTAGGAGCTTCCGATCACATGACCAGACTTCAGTGGATGTCCGCTCTACAACTTGCCGCCGATCATTCCGGCAGCCAGCAAACTTATCAGAGATTGCAAGCGGCCAAACGACGGTTGCAAAGGCAAGGACGTGTACAGGAAATGATACAGGCAAAGTAAGTAATAATTGTCAATTTATAATACAAATGTGTCCATTAAACAGTTTTCCGTAACATTACATGGAAACTGCCTATTTAAGCCTATAAGGCTCAGTTTCACAATTGGTGGTTATCAAACTAATAGTTGCGGATTAATAACCACATCAAGTAAGCGTTGATTTAAGTTTTGTAATGCTTGACCATATATGTTTTCAGGTTCAACTAGACTGGCCCTTAGTAATACAAATAAGCCTACTATCATTGTCAAAAGTCAAACAGTCAGTGTCTCTTCTCTTTTTATCTTGAATGTTTAAAATGCAACAGATATACAACCAGTCGTAGATGACTTAAAAGCAAAAGATTAATCATGTCTTGTGGGCCAATTTTTCTATTTAAAAATGTTGTATTTTAATAGAAACAACTTGCATTTTTTGGTTTTAGTTGATTTTTCAAATTCAACACAAACTTAGGGTTAGTGCGGACGCAGTGTATTCGTGTCTTGTTCTACAAGCTTGTATAAGAAAGAGATAAAAAGACATTTGTTCTGCACTTGTCTCAATTTTTTTCTATTATCGGCTCTTGAATCTCTTCTGAATGAAAATTCAAGAGTCTGTAATAAAAACAACTTGAAAAATGTTGGCAACGCTGTTAAAAGATGTCGATCTCGCAACACGACAGTTTGACAAGCGGCATTAATAGAATTCGCTTTATGTAATGCGAATTAAGCCTACTATCACTGTCAAAACAGTCATCTCTTTTCATCTTGAATGTTTAAAATGAGACAAATATAAGATAGTTAATGCCTCCAAGGGCCCGTATTCTCGTAACCAGGGAACAGCGTTCTCTCAAGAGAACGATTGCCCTGTCTTTGTCAGTATTATGGAAATAACAATATGGATGACTAAGACAGAGCAATCGTTCTCTTGAGAGAACGCTCTTCCCCGGTGACGAGAATACGGGCCCAGAGCAAAAGATTATTTGTGAGCAAATTTTTTCATTGAAAAATGTTCAATTTTAACAAAAATAATTTCAAAATACAATTTTTACGGAAAATAATGCCAGAAAAGGACTTACCTTGAGACTTAATGGGGCTCTATGGGGTCCCAATGAAAAATGTCCGAAAAATCGATATTTTTTGAGTAGCCTTCGTACCAATTCGACGTACAATACTACTTTACGCACTTTACTGTATGAAAATTATCCGAAAAAATAATTAAATTTCCCAAAAAACACAGGGAAAATACGTCATCTTAGATTATAAAATATTTGACTTATATGAAATGTCAAACACTAATATTGCTATCTCCTTTATCTTGTGTTCAAAATATGATAGAAACATTTCAGCTAGATCGCTATCTAGCGGCAAAACTACAAACTATAATTCCTGGGGCTTTTTTTAAAATAAAAATGCGTTATTTCAATGAAAATTACCTTAATATCGATTAAAAAACTGCTTACCTTGAGGTATCACCCAATTTTGGGAGATTTTTGCTCCTCCGATGGGGCCTCATCACAAAATTTCCGAAAAACCATATTTTTTTGTGGCCCTTGTGCCTTCCGGACACACAACATTTTTACGCACTTTTTTGTATGGAAATTTCCCGGAAAACCATAAATCATAGGCGTATCCAGGGGGGGGGGCTGCCGGGCTGCAGCCCCCCCCCCAAGACTTGTCTAAACTATTTTTTTCAAGGGAAGATTTTATATATTATAACCATTATTCAATTTTCTCTTTCATAATAATTATTCTGTATACCGTACTTTCCATTATTATTCGTGAATATTTTCAATATCTATTTTTTATGGTGCAGTTTATGTACGTACTTTGTTGAATTTTCCCTAAAAAAATAAAGTTTATTTCACAATATCCTGATAAGGTTTTTCTATGAATTATCTATATCTTCTACAGGGTCGCATAGGAGCTATTTCCGCCCTGATTTGAGGGCGAAATTTGATACTTTTCGGCCTGCAGGGCCACAAAATGTCACTTATTTGATGGCTGGTCGCACAAAAAATTACTATTTCAGCTCCGCAAAAAAGAATAGTCGCGTATCGTTTGGGTATGTTACAGGTAAATTCCTTACAAAAATTGGGCGTGGTTCCAATTTTATCAGCACTTGTTGTTCGCACAACCCCCCCTAAACCAAAATCCTGGATACGCCAATGCCATAAATAATGGAAAATTACTCAAGTAACGATTTTTATGCGTTAAAAAGCAACTTACCTTGAAATACCACTACCAGCCAGCAACTTTTGAGCGATTTTTGCCCACATAATGGGGCCCTATTAAAAAATGATATTTTTTCGTGACCCCCGTGCCTTATGGACGCACAAAACTCTCATAAACATTTTAACGCACTTTTCTGTATGAAAATTGTCCAAAAAACAATTAAATTCTCCAAAAAAAACACGGAAATATTAATTCGTATATTGAATTAATTCGAAAAACCGCCATCTTAGAATAAAAAAGGACTGTCAAAAGTCTATATATTGATATCTCTTTTTATCTTGTGTTGTAAAATATGACAGAAACATTTTAGATTTCCACCTAGCAGCAAAAAGATAAACTATGATTCCTGGGGCATTTTTTAATTAAAAATGCGCTATTTTAATGGAAAATTACTGAAATAACGATTATTATACGTTAAAAAGCTGCTTACCTTGATGTTTCATCAGGAACCAGCAAATTTTGGGCGATTTTTGTCCACATAATGGGGCCCCATTGAAAAAGGATATTTTTTCGTGGCCCCCGTACCTCATGGACACACAAAACTCTCATAAACATTTTAACGCACTTTTCTGTATGAAAATTGTCCAAAAAACTATCTACACCGGAAAGCCGTCATATAAAAACATTTGACTTTGACTTATATGAAATGTCAAAAGTCGATATATAGGCTGTCTCTTTTTATCTTGTGTTTAAAATGAGACATTTTAGTTGTACAGTTTTAGTTGTTGCTTCAATTGCCATCTAGCGGCAAAAGTACAAACTATCGTTTTCGAGCTTTTTTATTTAAAAATGCGCTATTTTAATGGAAAATTACTGAAATAACGATTATTAAACGTTAAAAAGCTGCTTACCTTGATGTTTCATCAGCAACCAGCAAATTTTGGGCGATTTTTGTCCACATAATGGGGCCCCATTGAAAAACGATATTTTTTCGTGGCCCCTGTATTTTTTTGGACGCAAAACACTTCAAAAAAACACTTTTTCGCATTAAATTTGCCCGAAAAACCACAAAATTCTTCAAAAAACTACAGTGACTCTATAACCCACAGTGGCGACAATTGCTGTCTCATTTTTGATTGGTTCTAAAATCCCATATATATTCATATTGAAAACACCGCCATCTTGTTCCCAACCGCTTGTTACTTTTAAATATGAATATATGGGATTTAGGTGAACATTCATCATAAATCATGGAAAACAACGTATTTGATGGACCTAATAATGGTCATCAAATACGTTGATTTCGATTTTTTATGATAGATGTCCATTTAAATCCTATATATTAATATTTAAAAGTAACAAGAGGTTGGGAACAAGATGGCGGCGAAACCTCTATTGTCGTCACTGTATGTAAAGGTTTATTTAGCCACTGTACAAAAAACGACCCCCACGATACACACGCCCCCATTTCGCCGAATCAAAAGAGCTTTGAAGTTGACACTGTTGACAATTGTGACAACTACGTCAGTCTTTTTTTATATTGTGGGGGTAAGAGAAGGAAAATATGGTTGGGTATTTAATTTACAAGGCCTACTTGAGTTGTCAGCTGAGGCTTGCGCAATGTAAACAAAAAGGAAATAATAAATAATTTTAAATTATTAATAAAATATAAATAAATTATCTAATTAGAACAACGTGGTTCATTATTATCCTGGAAAACTGTTGCAGGAATAATTTTGGAATTTTCTCATGAGAGAGTAGGTGTTGTCTTCGTCACTCATATTTATATTTTCATAACATTGACAAAGATAGAGCAATCGTTGTAATGAAGAAGCTGTTTCCTGGTTTCGAAAATCGAACATCCAAAAATGTTTATACTGACCCTGAGAATAACTGAGTTAATCAGTTTTTTAAAGGTCCGGTTTATCCATCTTTAGATAAACTTGGTGGTAATAATTATCTGCAAGATAAATTCACCGATCTATAATTCTATTAGTCGGCGGATAACTGACCGACCAATGGAATTACAGATTACGTCAGAAGATGAATACATCGGCCCTTACTGGAATAGATTTCCAAGCCATTTGGAATGAAAAATGCACCAGCCATTTTCTAAAAGACTATGCACATTATATAATAAGAAATTTAGAACGCAAAATGCCTTAGGATCGGTTTATCAGTGGACGGTTATTTAGTTTAGCTGTTGGTCAACTTGAATAACTGTCCACTAATAAACTGGTCCTTAGTCAACTAGGAACTTAATAGAATGCATCTTAAAACTTGTGAAATTTTAACTGTTTCCTACTTGTACAAACATATAAAATCAAATAAATTATTTCCAGGACTCAATTGCAACTGGAAAGGAGTGCCAGACAAGCGGCAGAAGGCCAAGCAAAAGAGCTGGAAGCCTTGGTCAAAGAAGATTCCAAAAAACTGGAACAACTGGCCGAAATCAAAGTGAAACTGGAAAAATTACTGGAAGAAGAAACTCAAGCCAAAAGGTAACAATTTTAATTATCATTACTTACATATGACAATCAATTACAATGTTATAGAGATGAAGAAATTGTAAGGGCACTTCAAGCAAGAGTTTTGGCCGAAGAATGGGAAAAACGTGACGAATTGGAAAGGTTGCAAGGCGAACAAAAAATGCTTCTTGAAGAAGAACGCATAAAACGAAAAGAATATGAAGACAGACAAAGACAAAAAGAAGAACAACTGAGAGGTGCCGAGCAAAGATTGGCCCAACTGGAAAAAGAACGTCAAGCTTTAGATGAAGAACTAAAACAAGCCAGAGAGAAAATCGTTTTATCTGAAGGCAAAAAGGATTTCTTGGAAGCTAAACTTTACCAATATACACCTGGTATTTTTGTATCAATAATTATAAAATTGAGGGTACTAATGTTGCAAATTTTTTAAGGTGACAAAGTGAGAAGAACCCATTCGTTTATTCCAAGCACAAAAGAGAGGCCGATATTATTAGAAGTACGCTCTGCAACACTGAGAAGACCAACTAAAAATTAATAGTAAAAAGTATTTTATTTATTTTGAAATAATTATTACAAATAACAAATAATAAAACAAAGAATTGGGTTTTTTTTTTTTTTCATAATAACATCACAATATTAAAATCACATTTTTATTATAAAGTGGGCATTCAGACTAAAGTAGCATGTGACATGCGCCTTGCTGCTAAGAAGCAAGGAGCATGCTACTTCTGTTTTGCAGGTTGCATGCTACTTTGGTGTGAATGCTCACTAAATAATCAATATAAATGCTTTTTGTTAATTTGCACCTTAATATAAATAAAAGTCAAATTTAAACATTTTCAACAACAATAAATTAACAAAAAAAAAAAGTGCAAAAACTCCCTCCACACAGTTAAGTGCAAGACTACATACGAATAACATAAATGCACCGCCATTTTAATACTGATTTCTTTGGGCAAAAACTAGTGTCATGCTGCTTATAATTGACTGTGTATAGAAAAATAACTGCCGACTGATTTTATATGAGATTCCTTTTTTATTTAAAGCAAAGCAACATTTATCTAGGAATCTTATCGAGAAAATCGCCCTCTACAACTTTGTCAATCTTGTCCAAAATCATATCCAACTTTTTATCGCTTTGCCTGTCAGCAAACAAGTTGTCACTTGCTACAGATTTGGTGCACTCAGTCCTATGTCGATTGGAACAAGAGCTTAATGTTTTAAAGAAGCTGTGGAGGTCTTTAAGTTGCGTAATCACATTAACAGTTAACAGCAACTCGTTGCGTTTCATTGGCAAAATATCAATTTGCGTATCAGAAAATTTCCGATCCATAAACTCAGCTATTCTGACTACGTGAGGCACAAAACTGTCAGATTTGTTTAATAAATCGTCTCCCACAAAAGCCCAACGATACCTGCAATAATTTATATAATATCTATTATTTTTGTATTAGTGATGGTAACGTACATTTGAAATTGTGGTAGAGTTGTGGCTGGTAATAATAAAGCTAAATCCAACAATTTGGCCGTAGCAAGTTGCAACCTGAGCCAATGAGGATGTCCCAAAGCGTGCAACCCGTTGTTGCTATTGGTCGCCCAGCTAGCGTCTAACGAGGACATCAGTTTTATATGAGAGCTAAACAATTATTATAATTCAGTAATAATTTCTTATTATTATTAGCGCAATTTATTTACCTGTTGTTAGTTGTCCTGAAGGAACGCAAAATAATACATTTTTTGTTAGTATGTACCTACACTCACAAATACAAAAAGAAAATTCTTACCTGAATTCTTCGCTGTCGGTGCTCAACTCTTGTTCGATTTGCAGGAAGACTTGCAACATTTCGCTAATTATTATTGGCCACAAGCTGGTCACGTGAATAGGGCTCATTCTGATGAGAATCACGCGGAAGCACATAAAAACTTGTGCCTGAATACCTGGCACATTCAATCTAAGACTTGTTGTTAATTGTTCTATAAGAAAATACATTATATTTTACATTAATACATATTGACAATTATTACCTTGTATTTCAGGCATATATTTAGCATATTGATCAATTTCGCTGCAAAATATAATATAAGCAAGTCGTTTTAGTAGTTGAGCCTTTTGCTCATATTCTTGTTCTCTGGAAGAGAAAATCCCTAAAGTGCCGCTTTGAGGCATCGATACCCTGCTCATTAAATCTCTAAAAGTTGTATTATCGTGAGTCATTAAATTATCCACAATTACCCGCCAATATTTTAAACAACTGTAGTCCATTTGAAATAAAGTATTATCCAATAGTAAGTCAAAAACATCTTTTTTCCACGCTTTTCTTGTATATTGGTAGCTACTTAAGCTGGACAACAGCTTAGAGCAAGCATTAAAGCTGGGCATGTTTTTGACTGTATGAGTTTTTAAATAGGGCACGATATTACACATTAGGGAAGCCAAAATGCTATTGACTTTGTCTTTTTCCTGAGACCCGAAACAAATATCTAAAATAGGGGCTAAGATTTCAGCTAAAACAAGCTGAGCTTGGACGCTGTGGCTGGAACTCAGCACAAAGTCAGTGTTTGGTATGTTGGCGTCTGGGGTGGTTTCTTCGTCTTCGCGTACCGCAAAGTTTCTTCTTAGCCAAGTGGTTTGTTCCAGGCAAGAGCCACAAACTTGGGAGACACAGTCGATGAGCTAGAAATTGCTATTTGTGATACAAGTCGGTCTAGAGATGGATTCTGTGGAGGCGCAAATTGTTACACGTGGCTGGGGCGTTCTTTAGTCCAAATGGTATACGTAAAAAGTATCTAGTAACAATGTACTACAATGTGACTACAAAATCCATAAAGTCCCTGCATTGGAGCTTATTTGGCAGAAAAAAAACTAAAAATGTGATTTTCTCGGTTTTATTTGGAAAGTTTCATGATTTTCCTTTTAATAGATTTTATAATTAGAAGCCCGAAAGGCCAGAGTTTTTGAAAATTACGAGCCCAAAGAACCGGAGTTTTTATAATCACGAGCTCGAAGGGCCGGAGTTTTTATAATAACGAGCCCGTAGAGCGGAAAATAAAACCCTCGCCTTACGGGAGTGAATTTTTCAAGACCAAGTTTATTCATCTTCAGATAAATTTGCTGGTAACTAACTGCAAGATAAATTTATTGGTCGGCGAATAACTTTACCAAAAGGCGAATAAACCAGCCCTTACCGGAACGCCATTTGGGTTAAATAATACTCCAGCCATTTTTCACTTTGACACATTTTGCAGGTGAATATCTTTAAAACGAGAAAGGATAACGACTTGCGGTTTATTCTGGGAGAATGTTCATAAGCGCAACTAGTTCCTCACTTTCCTCTTTCTTCTGGAGAAAATCCACAATATTGGCTTTGCCACTTTTCCAGAAAAAAATTGAAGGATGAATTTTGCTTGATCAAGTCAATTTTCCAGAGTTTTCCTCTCGACTTTCCTTGGAGTAAATGTAAGAAAATGAATTTTGCTTAAAAAAGTCAATTTTTCCTTAGTTTTTGCATTTTCGAAAAACTCATAATTTTCGTAATCCCCCGTAACTTTTTCGAAATTTCCCCATAACTTCAAAAATCATAATTTTTTCGTAATTCCCCGTAATTTTTTGTACTTATTTTTAATTCTCCTAATTTTTTAAAAAACTTTTTAAATTCCCCCCAAGTTTTGTAATTTTCATAATTTCAAAAATTCGTGATTTTCGTAATTCCTATAATTTTTGTAATTTTTGTAATTCTCTTTATTTTTATAATTCCAGCAATTTTTCGTAATTCCTGCAATTTTCCGTAACTATTCAAAAATTGCGTTAAAATCGCTGGAAAGTGACGTTGGAATTACGAAAAATAGAAGTAAAAATAACGGAAAAACGAAGTTGGAAATGTTGGAATTGCGAAAAAGTTGAGTAAAAATGGCGGAAAAGCAAGGTTATAATCGAGAAAAAATGAGGTTATAAATACGAAAAACAAAAGTAAAGATTATGAAAAAATTAGGTTGAAATTGCGGAAATGTGATGCGAAAATCGCGGAAAAGTGAGTTTATACTTATTGAAAAAATTTGTTGAAAATCTCTTAGTTTTTGAAATTTTCGCAAAACTCGTAATTTTCGTAATTCCCATAACTTTTTCGTTCCTTAATTTTTCGTAACTTTCCAAAATTCATTGTAATTTTTCTGTAATTCCCGTAATTTTTGAATAATTCCTGTTGTTTCTCAGATTTTCGTAATTTTTTAATTTCTGTTATTTCTCAAAATATTCAGTTACTTATTTTATAATTCTCCCTAAGTTTTTGTTACTTTCAAAAATTCGTAATTCCCGTAATTTTCAATTTTTTTTTGTTGTGAATTTTCATTATTTCCGTAATTTCTCAGATAATTCTCCCTATTTCTATAATTCTTCCTTAGTCATTGCAATTCTTGGAAAACTCGTAATTTTCGTAATTCCCGTAACTTTTTCATAAATCCCGTAACTTTCCAAAAATTATCGTAATTTTTTCCCAATTCCCGTGATTTTTCCTTATCTCTTTCAATTTTTATATTTCCTGTAGTTCCTCAAATTTTCGTAATTTTGTAATTCCCGTAATTTTTCAAAAAATTCTCGTTAATTTCATAATTCCCCCTTAGTTTTTGCAATTTTCGGAAAATTCGTGAATCTCGTAACTTTTTGTAATTCTTGTTATTTGCGTAATTTTTTGAAAATTGTCACAATTTTTTTAATTCCCGTGATTGTTTCGTATTTTTCATAATTTTTGAATAATTCCTGTAGTTTTCAGATTTCCGTAATTTTTTAATTCCTGTAATTTCTCAGAAAACGTCGTTATTTTGATAATTCCGAAAACATGTAATTTTCGTAATTTATTTTGGGAATTTTCGAAATTTTGTAATTCCTGTCATTTCTCAGATAATTCTCGTTATTTTCATAATATCCCCTTAGTTTTTACAATTTTCGAAAAACTCTAAATTTTCGTAATTCCCATTATTTTCGTAATTTTTTAATTTCCGTAATTTCTCAAAAAAATTCCGTTAGTTTTATAATTTTCCCTAAGTTTTTGAAATTTTCGTAAGTTGGTAATTTCCGTATTTTTTTTTTGGGGATTTTCGAAATTTTTTAATCCCTGTAATTTCTCAGATAATTCTTGTTATTTTCTAATTCCCCCTTATTTTTTTCAATTTTTGGAAAACTTGGTAATTTTCGTTATTCCCGCAATTTTTCGCGTTTTTCCCATCATGATGTTTTCGTAATTCCAGTAATTATTTGTATTTTCAATTTTTCAATTTTCAATTTTCCTAATTTCCAAAAAGATTCGGAATTTTCTAATTCTCTCTAAGTTATTGTAATTTTCGTAATTTCAAAAACTTGTGATTTCCGTTATTTTGGGAATTACCGTAATTCACGTAATTTTGAAATGATTTTGTAGTTCTTTCCCGTAATATTTCGTAATACCCGTAATTTTTGTAATTTTCGTAGTTTTTCGTATTTTTCTCAATTCCCATAATTTTTATAATTTCTCATAATTCCCGTAAATTTTCGTCATTTTACTGGGTTCCGTAAATTTTTATAATTCCCATTATTTTTCGTAATTCCCGTAATTTGTCTTGTTAGTTTTTGTAAATTCTTCAACAATTAATAATATTTAAATAATTGACGTAATTTTGGAGTAACTTCGTAATTCTTTTGTGTAATATTTGGCAATTCCCATAATTTTTGTAATTCCCGCAACTTTTTGTTATTCCGTGATTCTCGTAATGTTCCGTAATTCTCGTAAATGTTTGCAACTCTCATAATTTTTCATATTTTACGTACTTTAACGTAATTCCCGTAATTTTTCGTAACTTTTCAAAAATTATCGTTATTCTCGTAATTTTGAAATGAGGAAAAATAAGGATAAACTCGCGGAAAGTGATGATACAATCGCAAAAAAAAGTGAGGTCAAATTCGCGGAAAAGTGAAGATAAAATCGCGGAAAGTAGGGAAACAATCGCGGGAAAATGAGGATGAAATGAAAGATGACAAAATATATCTACAGGGTGTTTCTTTGAAAATAAGGCAGAAATTATCATTATTCCCCCATAGGACAAACCCTATCTCATTGTAGAGATACTTACCTGCAAAATGTGTCTATCTAATAATGAATTTGGCCCCCCCGACAAAAAGCATAATCTTAGTCTTACTTTAGCTGTAACATCTTGCAAATCCTTCTGATCTTTCCGCTCTTCCAAAGGACAACATTTGATCATCATTTCGTGTAAAATTGCCGCCAACAAAAACTGCGCAGACGGACTTAAGACATTCACTTCTCTTATAAGTGACAGCAAAGAGCTCCAAGCCTCAGACAGTTGAGTGGCAGAAGCATTTCTCATGTAACTTATTTTCAAAATAAATGATTTTATGATACCTTTTAACAAATTATGTCTTACCTGTAAAACAACTCTAAAATCGCAACATCAAGACAAATATCGGAGCTTAAACCTTCACAGGGCGGAGGGTTTTTTATCACAGCGGTCACTATTTGCACTAAATTGTCCAGCGGAATCATTCTGATTGCAGATATAAGGTAGACTAAGTTGTTTTGACCGGCATTTGGTTCAGGCAAAACCTATAATAATTGCAAAATAACTAAGAGGTTATGGGCCCAGTAGTTGCCTAAACAGTAGAGACTTACAGCTTTAACATTACTAAACGGATTCCGTCTTTCAAACCAAGCAACAGCCACTGCAGCCAAAAAGGCAGCCCCATGGTGGACAGCAATCGGACTCAAAAACTCTAAAAGTTGCTGTTTGACTACTTTTGAATTTCCATAAACGCTGTTGAAGTCTTCCAGCCCTTAAGCATTTTATAATTAGTCATTGTCAGACAACAAAACTAATAATAATTCTTACCAACAACCGTCTGCCATAGTTTAGCTACACTTGTAATAATTCTAGGCATGTGACTCAGTATAGTTTTCCTAGCGTTTTGATAGTGATCCGAGTTTTGTTTTGTGGAAAAATTAATGTCAGAAATCAAAGGAGTAAAAAACACATTGACTAAATTATTAAGAATCTCGCTCGAATGAGTTGTAGATGTTGTAGACACTGGCACGTTTTGATTGGCTGTTTGAGAAGCATCCAACAAACAATAATGACATAAAATAGTCAAAGATTCCAACTGAGTCACTGTATAATCAGAGCCAATTTCAAAATCGTCCAATTCAGGTTTGTCATAGTTGCAAGCGACTTCTTCAATGTTGCTGCAAATCTGATGAATAACGCTTATGGAGATTTGCTTTAGGTTGTCTCCGAAATAAGGCAAACAACAAGTTACCATGTTGAGCCATTTTTCGTGCATGCAGCGCATGTTTTCATTACGTAAAGCACTTAAAATGGCTGATAGAAATATTTGCTGTTTGGGTATCAAAACTGTAGGAGTGTAGTTCAAGTGTTCGCCGTTTACTGAGCCACAATTTGAAGTCTCTAGTGTAGCATTTTGGGTTAATATTGGTTTGGCCATGGGGAAAACCAAATGTTCCAAGATGATCAAAGAATGGATCAACCTATAGGGATGAAAATGTATTGAGGTTTTTAGGAATTCTTTTTCTATTCCAGGCTAATTCATCATTATTATTAAAAGCCTGGAATGAGAAATTTTCACTTACCTTAAAAGTTGTATTTGAAAAGCTTCAACGTGTCCCCCAACACGATTCTCAGAATTGCAAAGTTGAAAGTGATTAAACATCAAAATATCTTCAGCGAAAGTCATATCCTCATCAAAATTCCTTACAGAAGTCAGCAAACAATGCAGCAAAGTCTTTTGAATTTTGCATTTAATAAGCAAATCAGCAATGTAACTGCTAAAACCCTTATTACCATTCCCTTCCACCATTGCCACAAGATTCTTAACAATTATATGCAAAATTTCCAAAGACTCAATTTGAATTTTGTTGTTTGTTTCAAGTTCTTCACTTGAATCTTCCATAAAAGGAAAAAACGTGCGGGCATAGTTGAGACAAATAGACAAAACAACATCCAAAAACATATAGTTTTTGTAAATATTTAAATGCTCTTGTGCCAATTCCCCAGTAAATCCTTGGCCCAAAAGACTTTTCCTATGTCTAGCCAGCAAATTCAAAATATCGTGACTTTTAAGATCCTTAATCCCACTAGCAGCTGAGCACTTGATAAAAAGCTGAGGATTGCACAAAATGCAATTCTTCAAAGTACTCAAAACATACATAATTTGATTTGAATCAAACAACTCATAATACAAACACAAATGCGAATGAATCGGATACAAAACAAAATTCTTTGAATTTGAAATGTTGATTTTGTTTTTTAAGTCTAAATCAGTGGGTCTGTGAGATGTTTGCTGGCAAACATCCTCAATAAGTTTTTCTAAAATGCTGGATACAATTGCTAGTTCTTCATCACGGCCTTTGAAAAACTCCTCCGCACTTTTACTAATCTCCAACTCTCCATGTAAATTTGCCGAATCCGATATACAATAAGACCAGCTTTGCACTAGGGAGTTTTCGTCGCAGCATTTTGCGTTGCTTTTTTCGTCAAAGCTGTGCGACTTTGGGAGTTTTACTTCTTTTATGCCGTTAGAAATCGGTTCCATGCTTTCTAGTAGGGCTTTTTTGCTGTTGTCGACGAGGGAGTTTAGGATTTCGGATTGTTTGCGTTGTTGTTTTAGGGAATCGTAGCCGCTGTCTCTGTCACCTGAAAAAAAATTGAGGATTTTTTGATTATAGGATTTACACAACATTAATATGTCAGCAGAGTTATGTGGGGTGAGTGATAATTTGTAAACTTTAAAAAATCATAACTTTTTTTCTATTATAGATAGAAAGCTGAAACTTTCACTGAATTTTATCCCTCTCAAAGGACTACAATCCCTGAAAATTTCAGCTCATTTGCTTTTATAGTTCCTGAGATAAAATCGTGTTAAGCAATTTGGAGTGATTTATCAATTTTTCAATTTTTCTGACTGCCTTTTTTCATAGATTTCGGCTTCAAATCTGAGAATAAATTAGTGTATGAAGTTTGGGGGATGGTAATTGACTATTAGGATACAAAATCTCGACAAAAAAAAATTTGAAATTTCATCGTTTTAGTAAGAAGGTACCTACCTTATGATTTAGATTTTGGAAAACTTTGCAAGGTCATAACTTTTTTTCTATTATAGATAGAAAGCTGAAACTTTCACTGAATTTTATCCCTCTCAAAGGACTACAATCCCTGAAAATTTCAGCTCATTTGCACTTATAGTTCCTGAGATAAAATCGTGTTAAGCAATTTGGAGTGATTTATCAATTTTTCAATTTTTCTGACTGCCTTTTTTCATAGATTTCGGCTTCAAATCTGAGAATAAATTAGTGTATGGAGTTTGAGGGATGTTGATTGACCATTAGGAAACAAAATCTCGACAAAAAAAAAATTGAAATTTCATCGTTTTAGTAAGAAGGTACCTACCTTATGATTTAGATTTTGGAAAACTTTGCAAAGTCATAACTTTTTTTCTATTATAGATAGAAAGCTGAAACTTTCACTGAATTTTATCCCTCTCAAAGGACTACAATCCCTGAAAATTTCAGCTCATTTGCTTTTATAGTTCCTGAGATAAAATCATGTTAAGCAATTTGGAGTGATTTATCAATTTTTCAATTTTTCTGACTGCCTTTTTTCATAGATTTCGGCTTCAAATCTGAGAATAAATTAGTGTATGGAGTTTGGGAGATGGTAATTGACTATTAGGATACAAAATCTCGACAAAAAAAATTTTGAAATTTCATCGTTTTAGTAAGAAGGTACCTACCTTATGATTTAGATTTTGGAAAAATTTGCAAAGTCATAACTTTTTTTCTATTATAGATAGAAAGCTGAATCTTTCACTGAATTTTATCTTTTTCAAAGGACTACAATCCCTGAAAATTTCAGCTCATTTGCTTTTATAGTTCCTGAGATAAAATCGTGTTAAGCAATTTGGAGTGATTTATCAATTTTTCAATTTTTCTGACTGCCTTTTTTCATAGATTTCGGCTTCAAATCTGAGAATAAATTAGTGTATGGAGTTTGAGGGATGTTGATTGACCATTAGGAAACAAAATCTCGACAAAAAAAAAATTGAAATTTCATCGTTTTAGTAAGAAGGTACCTACCTTATGATTTAGATTTTGGAAAACTTTGCAAAGTCATAACTTTTTTTCTATTATAGATAGAAAGCTGAAACTTTCACTGAATTTTATCCCTCTCAAAGGACTACAATCCCTGAAAATTTCAGCTCATTTGCACTTATAGTTCCTGAGATAAAATCGTGTTAAGCAATTTGGAGTGATTTATCAATTTTTCAATTTTTCTGACTGCCTTTTTTCATAGATTTCGGCTTCAAATCTGAGAATAAATTAGTGTATGGAGTTTGAGGGATGTTGATTGACCATTAGGAAACAAAATCTCGACAAAAAAAAAATTGAAATTTCATCGTTTTAGTAAGAAGGTACCTACCTTATGATTTAGATTTTGGAAAACTTTGCAAAGTCATAACTTTTTTTCTATTATAGATAGAAAGCTGAAACTTTCACTGAATTTTATCCCTCTCAAAGGACTACAATCCCTGAAAATTTCAGCTCATTTGCACTTATAGTTCCTGAGATAAAATCGTGTTAAGCAATTTGGAGTGATTTATCAATTTTTCAATTTTTCTGACTGCCTTTTTTCATAGATTTCGGCTTCAAATCTGAGAATAAATTAGTGTATGGAGTTTGAGGGATGTTGATTGACCATTAGGAAACAAAATCTCGACAAAAAAAAAATTGAAATTTCATCGTTTTAGTAAGAAGGTACCTACCTTATGATTTAGATTTTGGAAAACTTTGCAAAGTCATAACTTTTTTTCTATTATAGATAGAAAGCTGAAACTTTCACTGAATTTTATCCCTCTCAAAGGACTACAATCCCTGAAAATTTCAGCTCATTTGCACTTATAGTTCCTGAGATAAAATCGTGTTAAGCAATTTGGAGTGATTTATCAATTTTTCAATTTTTCTGACTGCCTTTTTTCATAGATTTCGGCTTCAAATCTGAGAATAAATTAGTGTATGGAGTTTGAGGGATGTTGATTGACCATTAGGAAACAAAATCTCGACAAAAAAAAAATTGAAATTTCATCGTTTTAGTAAGAAGGTACCTACCTTATGATTTAGATTTTGGAAAACTTTGCAAAGTCATAACTTTTTTTCTATTATAGATAGAAAGCTGAAACTTTCACTGAATTTTATCCCTCTCAAAGGACTACAATCCCTGAAAATTTCAGCTCATTTGCACTTATAGTTCCTGAGATAAAATCGTGTTAAGCAATTTGGAGTGATTTATCAATTTTTCAATTTTTCTGACTGCCTTTTTTCATAGATTTCGGCTTCAAATCTGAGAATAAATTAGTGTATGGAGTTTGAGGGATGTTGATTGACCATTAGGAAACAAAATCTCGACAAAAAAAAAATTGAAATTTCATCGTTTTAGTAAGAAGGTACCTACCTTATGATTTAGATTTTGGAAAACTTTGCAAAGTCATAACTTTTTTTCTATTATAGATAGAAAGCTGAAACTTTCACTGAATTTTATCCCTCTCAAAGGACTACAATCCCTGAAAATTTCAGCTCATTTGCACTTATAGTTCCTGAGATAAAATCGTGTTAAGCAATTTGGAGTAATTTTTCAATTTTTCTGACTGCCTTTTTTCATAGATTTCGGCTTCAAATCTGAGAATAAATTAGTGTATGGAGTTTGAGGGATGTTGATTGACCATTAGGAAACAAAATCTCGACAAAAAAAAAATTGAAATTTCATCGTTTTAGTAAGAAGGTACCTACCTTATGATTTAGATTTTGGAAAACTTTGCAAAGTCATAACTTTTTTTCTATTATAGATAGAAAGCTGAAACTTTCACTGAATTTTATCCCTCTCAAAGGACTACAATCCCTGAAAATTTCAGCTCATTTGCACTTATAGTTCCTGAGATAAAATCGTGTTAAGCAATTTGGAGTGATTTATCAATTTTTCAATTTTTCTGACTGCCTTTTTTCATAGATTTCGGCTTCAAATCTGAGAATAAATTAGTGTATGGAGTTTGAGGGATGTTGATTGACCATTAGGAAACAAAATCTCGACAAAAAAAAAATTGAAATTTCATCGTTTTAGTAAGAAGGTACCTACCTTATGATTTAGATTTTGGAAAACTTTGCAAAGTCATAACTTTTTTTCTATTATAGATAGAAAGCTGAAACTTTCACTGAATTTTATCCCTCTCAAAGGACTACAATCCCTGAAAATTTCAGCTCATTTGCACTTATAGTTCCTGAGATAAAATCGTGTTAAGCAATTTGGAGTGATTTATCAATTTTTCAATTTTTCTGACTGCCTTTTTTCATAGATTTCGGCTTCAAATCTGAGAATAAATTAGTGTATGAAGTTTGGGGGATGGTAATTGACTATTAGGATACAAAATCTTGACAAAAAAAAAATTGAAATTTCATCGTTTTAGTAAGAAGGTACCTACCTTATGATTTAGATTTTGGAAAACTTTGCAAAGTCATAACTTTTTTTCTATTATAGATAGAAAGCTGAAACTTTCACTGAATTTTATCCCTCTCAAAGGACTACAATCCCTGAAAATTTCAGCTCATTTGCACTTATAGTTCCTGAGATAAAATCGTGTTAAGCAATTTGGAGTGATTTATCAATTTTTCAATTTTTCTGACTGCCTTTTTTCATAGATTTCGGCTTCAAATCTGAGAATAAATTAGTGTATGGAGTTTGGGGGATGGTAATTGACTATTAGGATACAAATTCTCGACAAAAAAAAATTTGAAATTTCATCGTTTTAGTAAGAAGGTACCTACCTTATGATTTAGATTTTGGAAAACTTTGCAAAGTCATAACTTTTTTTCTATTATAGATAGAAAGCTGAAACTTTCACTGAATTTTATCCCTCTCAAAGGACTACAATCCCTGAAAATTTCAGCTCATTTGCACTTATAGTTCCTGAGATAAAATCGTGTTAAGCAATTTGGAGTGATTTATCAATTTTTCAATTTTTCTGACTGCCTTTTTTCATAGATTTCGGCTTCAAATCTGAGAATAAATTAGTGTATGGAGTTTGGGGGATGGTAATTGACTATTAGGATACAAAATCTCGACAAAAAAAAATTGAAATTTCATCGTTTTATTAAGAAGGTACCTACCTTATGATTTAGATTTTGGAAAAATTTGCAAGGTCATAACTTTTTTTCTATTATAGATAGAAAGCTGAAACTTTCACTGAATTTTATCCCTCTCAAAGGACTACAATCCCTGAAAATTTCAGCTCATTTGCTTTTATAGTTCCTGAGATAAAATCGTGTTAAGCAATTTGGAGTGATTTATCAATTTTTCAATTTTTCTGACTGCCTTTTTTCATAGATTTCGGCTTGAAATCTGAGAATAAATTAGTGTATAGAGTTTGGGGGATGGTGATTGACTATTAGGATACAAAATCTCGACAAAAAAAAATTTGAAATTTCATCGTTTTAGTAAGAAGGTACCTACCTTATGATTTAGATTTTGGAAAAATTTGCAAAGTCATAACTTTTTTTCTATTATAGATAGAAAGCTGAAACTTTCACTGAATTTTATCCCTCTCAAAGGACTACAATCCTTGAAAATTTCAGCTCATTTGCTTTTATAGTTCCTGAGATAAAATCGTGTTAAGCAATTTGGAGTGATTTATCAATTTTTCAATTTTTCTGACTGCCTTTTTTCATAGATTTCGGCTTCAAATCTGAGAATAATTTAGTGTATGGAGTTGGGGGGATGTTGGTTGACCATTAGGATACAAAATCTCGACAAAAAAAAAATTGAAATTTCATCGTTTTAGTAAGAAGGTATCTACCTTATGATTTATGATGAAATTTCAATTTTTTTTTTGACAGTGATTTATCAATTTTTCAATGAATTATTACAACAAAGTTATTTACCTGGCAAAGAATCACATTGTTCCATCACCCGTCTCTCAATCGAATCATCGCAACTAATCGTATTATCGTTGCTAGACAAACTATCCGAAGAAGTATGAGATGTTTTCCTGGCATAAGATCCTTCTAACCCTACAGGATAAATCTCCTTGTTGCTCAAAGGGTTGATTATAAGCTTAACATTGCCCTTAGAATGCTTATCCAAATTGGGAGACACATTATAATTTTTGAAATCTTTATTTTTCTTAGTCACTGTGCCATTGGTATCTTCTAGAAGGCTGGTAGTCATATTGATGGCTGAGGCGTATTTTTTGCCAGATTTTGAAAAAGCGAACCAGCGTTTTTTGGGGGATTTTGGCCTAGGACTATCTGTCATGTGATACATTACATTACCTATAAATTTTTAAATTAAAAACCATCATACACATAGAAAAATCATTACCATTAACATTACTAACAGCATAAATCTTTTTGGTTTGCGACTCAACAATTTTTTGATTGTCCTGATCCAATTGTTCATTTTGTATATCATTGTCTTGAATGTTGACATGCCTTATAGATACTCTAGCTGTATTGCTTGCCAATAGTTTAAGCAAAATAGGGTTTAATATTCTAGGAATGTCTTGGTGTAAAAGGGCATGGTTTAAAAACGATTCAGCCAATAGTTGTAATGTGGGTTTGTCCTTATTTTGAAGCAAGTCTAAGATTTTCAATAAACTCCTATCAAAGCTTTTTGTGTGGTTTTTATTAGGAGGCAATTTGATAGTCAAGTCTCGGCCTAAATGCCACAAAGTGCAAAATTGCTTTATATATTTTACTGTAACTAAATCATAAGACAAACATCTTCCAATTATTTGTTCTACTTTACAATCAAAACTGTTATGAATTTGATAAAGCAAAGTAACACACAACATTAGTTGGTTTTGGTTTTTGACTGTACCCAAAAGTGTCCAAAGAATTTTGGACATTTCCTCAATTGCCATAGTGTTTTCATCCACAAAATTCACATAATTGTGTTCTGGTAAATTGAATATTTCTAGCAAAGTGCTCATGGCTGTTAGTTGGATTTTTGTTGAGGCTTCTTTGCAACAACTTGAAACTATTAAAGCTTCAAGCCAATGAGGAGTTTTTTGGTCGTTTGTATTGGTCGGATAAGAGCAAAATTCCAATAAGATTTTTGAAGCTATAGTCATAGATGTTTCATAGTTTGAGTAAATTTCAGGAATTGTTTTGTATTCATATTTGAAGTTTACGCCAGTGCAATCAATTATTGGCTTAAATTGCTGGTTTGTTAATCTTCTGTCTAATAAGGTTTGCAATTGTTGGATTCTTTGTTGTTTGTCGTAGATGAGGCCTTTAAAGAAACCTTTAATGTCAACATTTTGTAAGACTTTGCATTTTATAAAGGTAACGTAAAATCTTTTATATTCGTCCAAGCATTTTAGGAAATATTTGTTTTCATATTTGGCTGTTGAAGGTGGGGATGTGGGAAGACTTTCTTTGGATTCAGGGATTTCATCTGAGATGTCTTGGTTTTTTAAGTCGTAAAGCTTGGAGCTCGATTTGGATTTCTTGTTTTTGGTTTTCTTTTCTGTGCGAGGGCTGGTTTTGTCTTTTTTCTTTGTGAATTGGTTACTGTAGGATCTGAAACAGAAAAATTGTTGTGTGTGTATGTGTGAGTTACTATATTAGGAGAGCCTGGAATAGGATTTTTATTCATCTCAGTTTAATTTCAGCCCAATCAAATTGCAAAATGAGGATGTAAAGAGAATGACTTTGAGCAAAGTGATTTTGAAGATATACAAGTAGAAATTGAGGAGGAGAAAAACGAAAACAAAATTGATTCAAAATGTTAAATACATACCTTTCTCTGGCCAAATCATCAACCAACAATTCACTTTTGTCATTATTAAAACTTTCATTAATCTTCGAATCTGATTTGCTTTTCTCAAGAATCCTTTGTTCCTGTTTTTCTTCAAAAGATTCTTCTTCCATTTGCTTTATATGTATTGGCTGAATTTTCATTAAAATCTTAGTGCACAATTCCAAGCTTTTTGCGATTTCGTGATGATTTAAATCAATCATATGCACATTCAAGGCTTTTATGATTTTGGTAAACAGGCTGGGTAAGATGTTTGAAGTGCTTTCCGCATAAGACTCAATAGGAATAATGTCCAAAAGGAAATCAGTCAAAAGGCAAAGTTCTAAAATATAAGGACTTCCACTGCCAATTTCATTAACTTGACAACGATCTCTATATTTGAATTTTTTGATATTTTTAACAGCCTCGTCATATAGTTTTTCAATATAAGACCAAATATAGTAGCTTTGTAAAGTATTGAATAGTAAATTGGCATTTTTGACTAATTCCTGACAATTTTTAGCAACAAATTGGCTATTTAAAGAATCACTACTGGTTTTCAAGCTGTTTAAGTCCCCATTGAACGATACACATCTTCCTGATTGATTTTGATACTTTTGCAAGCTCAAACAGGACAAATATAGAGTCCTAAACACATCATAGAGTATTGAGTCTAAAATTACTGGCCCAATTTGAGGTTTCTCAAACAAAGACGTTAAAAGTCTATAGGATTTAACATCTATTGGCAAACAAGTGCTAGATTTTTTCAAAATGTCTTTAATTGCATCGTTTAGTAAATCATAAGCAATTGAATGGGTTTGGGTTGTGTGGAAAACATCTTGCTGTTCGCCATCAATTTGAAGTAAAGGCAAATTTTGGGTTTCGGTTTCTAGTAGCCAAGAATACAGACGCCTTATAATGAATAGTTATTAATAAATAAATACCCTGGTAAATTATCAATTAGATACCTATTAAGAGACATGTCTCGCCTTAAAATTGTAGATAAAGCAGCAGTAACAAGCCTCACCATATCAGCATATAATAGCTGTTTATTTTGCATAGGGAAACAAACCATTAGTAAATCAAGAGCAGATCTTTGCACCAATACACTAGAATCTTGCACTGCTGCACATAAACCTGAAACCTAAATTCCAAATAATACAAAAATAATTTCAATTTAATCAAATTACCATTAATCCAATATCATGCCCCATCAAATCAAGCTGATCCTCCATAGGTATTTTCCTACTATAATGGGCATAAACATAGGTAACAGCAGGCAATCTTACAGGACTATTATTAGCCACACATTGCCATATACAAGTATAAAAATAAGGCGGGTCTACACCTTCACAAACATCTTCCAGTAGTTTATTGGTCCGGTCAAAATGATCCGTTCCAGTGTCCAAGCCGGGCAAAATGCCGCTCAGAAATCCGCTTAAGGCTGGTCTGAGTCGATCGCCCAAAGGTACAAAATGGGTCTCGTAGATTGTCAATAGGATTGGGCGGATGTTCATGGCCGCGTGGCTCATTAGTGGGAATAGACCTGAGTGGATTAGAATAATCTCAATTTGATTATACAAAATTATATAATCAGATGGGAATTATTCAAAAACTGTACATGGGATTGAATTCATAGTAACATGGAAAGGTTGAGGGGGTAGTCACAAACAGGAAAATATCAGTGGCGTACACTCAGTCAATTTACGAATGAATATTCATACGAAAATATGCAAAATTATACATTTAGATGACAATTATTTGAAAACTGTACACGGGATTAAATTCATACTAATGGGGAAGATTAAGGGGGTTGTAAGATTTATAAAAAGCAAGTAGGATACCAGTGGCGTACACTCAATCGACCAACGAATGCACATTTATACTTGCAAAAATGCATTCTATTATATATTTTTTTTGGAAAACTATCTAAGGGAAAATTATGAAATTTTCAGAAGAAAAAGGGGAGAATTAGGAGCCCATATCATATTGAAATTTCAGACTTTTTTGTGATAAATTCTAATGGGTCTGTTGCTACAGAAATCACAAGCCAGTCAGAGCGAATTTCATTGATTGAAAAACTTTGAAAGGTCATAACTTTTTTTCTATTATAGATAGAAAGCTGAATCTTTCACTGAATTTTATCTTTTTCAAAGGACTACAATCCCTGAAATTTTCAGCTCATTTGGACTTATAGTTCCTGAGATAAAATCGTGTTAAGAAATTTAGGGTGATTTATCAATTTTTCAATTTTTCTGAGTGCCTTTTTTCATAGATTCCGGCTTCAAATCTGGGAATAACTTGGTGAATGGAGTTCGGGGGATATCAAATGACCATTAGAATACAAAATATCGACAAAAAAAAATTTGAAATTTCAACGTTTTAGTAAGAAGGTACCCCCCTTATGATTTTTTTGGAAAACTTTGGAAGGTCATAACTTTTTTTCTATTATAGATGGAAAGCTGAAATTTTCAGTGTTTCCCATTCCAGTAGAGGAGTTTAATCCCTGAAAATTTCAGCTCGTTTCCACTTATAGTTCCTGAGATAAAATCGTGTTAAGCAATTTGGGGTGAAACAGTCAGGAAACTAGTTTCAACCAATGAAATTCACTTTAACTGGTTTGTGATTTCTGCAGAAACAGACCTAATACGTATTTTTCTCAGTGGCGCACCCAGAGAGGTGCTATCGGACCAAAACTGACTAACACCTCAATTTTTTTTTAGATTTTCAGTTACAAGCGAGGTTACAAGCCATAACCTGAGGGGTTTTTCACCTAACAAAATTTGTACACCGATTAACAGTACTAACTGAGATATTTCCATGTATTAACAGATATTTTTATGTACCTAATAACAAGTTATTGCCAACCATTTTCATGTATTACCAAAATATTTCCACATATTGCCAGGTATTTCCCTAGTATTATCACATATTACTAGGTATTGCCATGCTATTGATAGACTAAAATCAAATATTTGTCTTGCCAGAATTCAGGGTATTGACATATCCACAGGTATTTACTTGTTATCAATAGGTATCAAGTATTGACATATACAGTACAACCTCGATAATCCGACCATGAGTTAATCCGAACCTCCACTAATCCGAACAGCGAATGCTCGAAGGCATAATGTGAACAAATCTTGATAATCCGAACAACTCCTGAAAACCGCATTACGCTACGCGCGCTACATAAAATTTAATAGGTAATAATGTTCTCAAAGCCGGATCAGAAAAATCCGAAGAAGAATCTGAAGAAATCGTACCGATCAACGTGACTCACAGAGAAGCAGTAAAATATTTTCAGACTTGTTTAAAATGAGCAGAACAAATTTCTGAAACAGTTGAGGACATTTTTATTCTAAAGCTCGGTTTATTCGTCTTCCTAGTACCTAAATATCTGCAAGATAAAATTACCGTTTTATAATTCTATTGGTCGGCGGATAACTGGCCGACCAATGGGATTACAGATTGCCTTTTTATCCGTCAGATTGCATACCTAACAACTTATCATAAGGTGAAAAAACCGGACTCAAAGAAATGAAAAAGAAGGCGGAAATGGGAGAAGCAGCCAGTATGAAGCAAAAAAAAGTACATTACATAATTGTTTTACTCATCTAACCTAAGTTAAACTCAGAGTTAATTACGTACATTAATATTTGTCTTAAAAAATAAAGCTCTTTTTTGATTATTTGCATATTTAAGGTAAATTTACCATGCATTTTGATAATCCGAACAAATCGGTAATCCCGACTGACCTTAGCAATAATTAGTTCGGATTATCGAGGTTGTACTGTATTACCTATATAATTAACAAGTAGATATTGCATAGTATTGACATAGTATTTACCTGGTATTGACATATATTAACCAGTGATTAACAAGGTGAAAAACCCTTCGCCAGTGGCGGTCCATACATGATTTTCTGGGGGGGGTAATGGATGACGGGAAAATCATCAAGTCCCGGAACGTACCGCTGGAGGCGAAATTTTTTTTGGGGTGCCATTAGGGTTGCCACCTTTTGATGTTTTTTGCCTTATTCTGAAGACAAGAAAATCGAGAACTTTTAACAATAATTTGTACATTTGATATACATACTATGAAATTTTCAAAATTTTTAGGCATAAAGTAACCATTAGTTTGTAACTTTACAAGAAAAATTAAGTTTAAACCGAAATAATTTAATAATTAACATTATTGGTTCAATAATTCTCAATGCTGATATTTGTTTAAGCGTGTCAGCTTATAATTTAAAAAGTGACATTTGTCACTTTTCGGCACTAGTGCGGAAAAGTGAAACTTTCCAAACTAAAATGCGTGCGGAAAAGCTCACTTTTCCGCACGCTCGTAGAAAAAATGAATTTTTAGACAAAAATTAAAAAAGGTTTTCAATTTCAAACGCCACCTCTCGTAGTTACGGTCTATTTTAAAATTTGAAAAAAATAGAAAAACAGAGACACTTGTAAGTGAACAGGGAGAACGACACAATACATACATAATTATTTGTTTTATTAGGCAGAAAAGTACATAATATATAATGCCGCGACTAATGTTCCATAGCCGAAAGCGAAGCGAGGAAACCAGCCAAGGCATTAAATCTGATCTTTTGCCGTGTGAAACATATATCATTTTTTCTCCGAATTTGTTACAGCTTCGCGCATAATCTACTTTTTTATGTTTATCAATTGCGCTGATAACGTTTGTTGAATGGGAAGTAACGAACTTTTCTGCCTAGGTAGAAAAAGTCCTCTTTTCTGTCGCTAACTGGAAACCGGAGACGGTTTCGTGACACACTCGTCTTTCAAGAAGTAGGAACGGAAGGTTCAGAAATTAGTTGCGTATATCCTACGGCGCTCGGCAATCGCCTTTATAAATTTTATATTAAGTATTAATTATTATTAATTATATAGTTATCCAGATATTCCCGGACATTTTCATCATGCGTCCGGACACCGGACAAACCTTTGAAAAACCGGACAGGTGGCAACCCTAGGTGCCATGCCCAAATTTGCACCCGAAAATCGTTTAAAAAACACACTTGGGGCAAAAATGTATCCCGATGCCGTCAAAATAGTTATACAGGGTGTCCACGAAATCGGACGATATCTTCTTACAGGGTGATGCAAGAAAAAAAAATAAAAATTCAAAGTTGTTTAATTCTCTAAGGTGCATTACTTAAAAACATTTTTAAATAAACAGGGTGCTCTGTAAATGGGGTATGCGACAGAACTTTCTTATTTTTAAATGGAACACCCTATATTTTAATCCATTCTATCGTTCTAAAAATCCTACATACTTTTTGTTAGGAATCATCATACCAAAACTCAACCGTTTTTAAAATATTTAATATTTTTTCAAAAAATCGCAGCTTGCATGTGTCAAAAAACAACATATTTCATCCATTGGAGATCCTATAAGCTAAATCTTTTGCAGGTTGTTAGTGCATAATGTCTGTCAATTTTAATCCGATACTCCAACGGAATTTCTGCTGGTGCCTTCCTACATTAGAACGCCAATGGTTACCTGACGCCACACCTGTTTTTGCCATATGGAATACCCCCTCGCTCCTCATAGTTCTCATTCGGAAAGTGTCAGTTTAAAAATGACGGACTTTATTTACATTTACTTCATGGTCCTATGAAAATCTGTTAACATTCTACAGGGTGTTAGCAATACTGTACACAAAACCAGACATTTCAAACAACCATTTGTATAGTAGTAAGTACGCAAGATTGTTTGAGAGAGGTAGGTTTCCTGATAACTTTATGACGTCATCTGGGGTGCTTCAACATAATGCAAATCTGCATAAGGCCCCCAGATGCGTCATGAAGTTACCCATTACCAGACAACCTATGAACTTTAGGAACCTTGGTAGGTAACTCGGTACTGGTGAGCCTATCATATTCATATAATGCCTTTAATCCTTTACTTTGTAGACCTTGTCTTTTGTTGAAATTTTGTTGTAACTGATAAATTAAAAAAAAAAAAAACTTTTCTGGTGGGGTAATTACCCCCTCTACCCCCCCCTTTAAACCGCCCTTGCCCCTCGCCACAACCTATGTAGGGCCCCCCGAACATATTTTTTGGGTGCGCCATTGTTTCTTCCAATTTATATCTGAAATACTTACATAGTACAACTTTACCTAGGAATAAAATATCAATCTGACAACACTGGTAACATATTTATTTAGTACAAACAATAAATGGAGATTGATTTGACAACGTTCAACTAAGTTGTCATAGACGTATAAACCAATCAAAATCGTTTCTGAATATTCAAAATTTCAATAAACATTTGGCAAGAGCCTTCTAGATACACTTTCTTATGGAAATTCTACAAACTACACATTTTTTTCAAACCTCTACACTTTCTTAATAGTAAAAAATGGACTTATTATTTCAATTTCTATTAACTTATATAAGTATACAATATAGATAGAACAGAGTGCGTTCCATTTGTGTAATTTTTTCTATTGAAGGTTGACTTGTTCGTGCATTAAATCAAAACACACCAGTACGCACTAATTAAATTAGCATTTAAACCATGAAGAAAACAAACAACACAATGTCAATATTAACACTATTTTTCCTAGCAAAACCAACATAGTATAGATAAAACAAAACCATATTTTATCATTTTATTTATTCAGATAAATGAGGCAATAAATGAATGAATCACAAAAAAAAAAGGGGCCACTTACCTGAACTATAAATAAACAACTCGCAAGCCAACCTATTGGTCCCCATACACCTGAAAATAATGTCGTAGGTCTCTAGGGCTTTCAAATGCACCCCAGATGGTAAAGCTGGATGCATACATTGGGCTAGTCTTTTGCTGATTTTTATTCTACGTGGTATTACAGGGAATTTTGTGTAGCTTAACAACACCTGGAATAATTTTCTAATTACAATTCATTAATTAATAGTTGGACAATTACCTTGTTTAATTTTCCTAGGGCTGAAATAAGGTCTGCCCATTCCGAAGTGTAATCGAAATTTTTAAGGGCCTTATCGACTGCGGCCACGTACATCCGGTATTTAGAGTCTTTCATTAGTTCGTATTCTTCCATTGTAATTGTAGTCATTGTTTTAAACAAATTGTTAATTAAAAACTATTAATAGTAATTTTTATCACACGCACACAATAACATTTGACCTGGCCTGTAGTGTTTTATTTGAACTTAAATGTACCACATTGCAACACACACTGAGACTGGGTTTTTCTTTTAATTTGTAATCACATTTTTTATTATTATTAATTAATTAATAATTATTATTTAAACAATATACATTATTATACATTTGAGTTGTCACCAATTTGCAATTTGTTGACAACACACTGACAGCTGCCAAAAAAAATAAACAAACTCTATTGGTTAAATGTTTGTCAAGTATTTTTATCTTTTTCTATTTGATGCTTATGAAAGGAGATGAAAAATGTTTACTCAAAATGGAAACAGCTGATTTGTGTGCCATTTTTAAAAACCCTTTTAATATTGAAAATAAATTAGTTTTAATACAATAAAATTGTTGTTTTTTGAATAAACAAAAGGCCTAAAGACGTTTAAAAAGGGAACATTTTTATTTATTTAAGATCAATTTCAACTTGGCAACACTGTATTATAAAGTCAAATTTGAATAATGTAAACATAACAACATAACCCTACTTTAAATTCCTTTTTATGTTTTTAAAAAGTTTTTCGCGTTTTAGCAAAAATATGAGTGTCTTCGTACAAAAACTGAACCCCCTCACCGGTCACAACGACTGGGTGATCCAAAACGAAGACTACGACTATCACCAAGAAGTTGCCAGGTCGGCCTTTGCAGACATGCTGCACGACACCGAAAGAAATCGACTTTACGAAAAAGCCCTCAAAGTAGCTATCGATAAGATTCACTCTTTAGGCAAAAAGGCCTTGGTTTTAGATATTGGCACTGGTACAGGGTTGTTGTCAATGATGGCAGTTAGGCAAGGGGCTGACAAAGTTACAGCTTGCGAAGCTTTCAAGCCTATGGGTCAATGTGCCTTGAAAATAATCGAGTTGAATGGGTTTAAAGATTGTATTAGAGTTGTTTCGAAAAGGTCTACTGAATTGACAGTGGGGCCCAATGGGGATTTGAGTGAGAAATGTAATATTTTAGTTACAGAAGTTTTCGATACTGAGTTAATTGGTGAGGGGGCTTTGGCTACTTTTGACCATGCCCATAAGTATTTGCTGGAGAAGGAGTGCGTTGTTGTACCAGATAATGCTACAATATATGCACAGGCAAGGACCTTTAATAATTATTGTAATTTAGAAAATCTCACTTGTAGTTCATATTATCAATTTTCTAAATTAAAATCTCATTTGTAATTCAGTAAATCTCAACTAAAATTCATTTGTAATTCAGATTTTTCAAATGTATGTAATTCAGACCATATTTTTGGCCCTGAAAAATTTTTGATAATCTGACATTTCCTCACAAAAACACTTATAACTCAATTAATATTCCACAAACTCTAATCCATATTTATATATTTTCAATTCGCATTAAATGCTCTTTAAGATAAAACTAACTTGAATCATTTATCTCAAATAGTTTCCGAGATATTGAGGCTCAAGTTTGAAACTTTGTTTCAAATTTTGGAAAACCTTCTAAGTTGATTATCTGGAAAACGAAGCCCTAGGGCTCGGTGTCCCAAAAGGGCTTTTTTGAAGCCCCAATCGAGATCTACAAATGGACAAAATTTGATACCAATAGCTGTTTTGGTTCCCTAAATATGTCCCTTTGAAATATTTGAAAATGAAATTTTCTTGCATACAATACCCCTTTGGAAAAATTTCAATTTTGATTTTTTGAGATTTTTTGTTTTTTGACTTCACTAATCGAAAGAGTGGGTCAAATTTAGCAGAAAAGAATTTTCGTAATTTTCCTTTTCGAGGTTTAAGGGCCTGTAAAAAATTGAACATTATATTTGCATTTTTGGTCCTGAAAATTTTTGATAATCCGACATTGCCTCACAAAAACATTCATAACTCAATTAATATTCCACAAATTCTAATGCATATTTATATATTCTTAATCAAAATTAAACGCTCTTTAAGCTAAAACAAACTTTAATCATTTATCTCAAATAGTTTCCGAGATATTGAGGCTCAAGTTTGAAACTTTGTCTCAAATTTTGTAAAACCTTCTAAGCTGATTATTTGGAAAACGAAGCCCTAGGGCTCGGTGTCCCAATGGGGCTTTTTTGAAGCCCCAATCGAGATCTACAAATGGACAAAATTTGATACCAATAGCTGTTTTGGTTCCCTAAATATGTCCCTTTGAAATATTTGAAAATGAAATTTCCTTGCATACCCCTTTGGAAAAATTTCAATTTTGATTTTTTGAGATTTTTTATTTTTTGACTTCACTAATCGAAAGAGTGGGTTAAATTTAGCAGAAAAGAATTTTCGTAATTTTCCTTTTCGAAGTTTAAGGACTTGTAAAAAATTAAACATTATATTTGCATTTTTGGTCCTGAAAATTTTTGATAATCCGACATTGCCTCACAAAAACATTCATAACTCAATTAATATTCCACAAATTCCAATGCATATTTATATATTCTTAATCAAAATTAAACGTTCTTTAAGCTAAAACAAACTTTAATCATTTATCTCAAATAGTTTCCGAGATATTGAGGCTCAAGTTTGAAACTTTGTCTCAAATTTTGTAAAACCTTCTAAGCTGATTATTTGGAAAACGAAGCCCTAGGGCTCGGTGTCCCAATGGGGCTTTTTTGAAGCCCCAATCGAGATCTATAAATGGACAAAATTTGATACCAATAGCTGTTTTGGTTCCCTAAATATGTCCCTTTGAAATATTTGAAAATGAAATTTTCTTGCATACAATACCCCTTTGGAAAAATTTCAATTTTGATTTTTTGAGATTTTTTGTTTTTTGACTTCACTAATCGAAAGAGTGGGTCAAATTTAGCAGAAAAGAATTTTCGTAATTTTCCTTTTCGAGGTTTAAGGGCCTGTAAAAAATTGAACATTATATTTGCATTTTTGGTCCTGAAAATTTTTGATAATCCGACATTGCCTCACAAAAACATTCATAACTCAATTAATATTCCACAAATTCTAATGCATATTTATATATTCTTAATCAAAATTAAACGCTCTTTAAGCTAAAACAAACTTTAATCATTTATCTCAAATAGTTTCCGAGATATTGAGGCTCAAGTTTGAAACTTTGTCTCAAATTTTGTAAAACCTTCTAAGCTGATTATTTGGAAAACGAAGCCCTAGGGCTCGGTGTCCCAATGGGGCTTTTTTGAAGCCCCAATCGAGATCTACAAATGGACAAAATTTGATACCAATAGCTGTTTTGGTTCCCTAAATATGTCCCTTTGAAATATTTGAAAATGAAATTTCCTTGCATACCCCTTTGGAAAAATTTCAATTTTGATTTTTTGAGATTTTTTATTTTTTGACTTCACTAATCGAAAGAGTGGGTTAAATTTAGCAGAAAAGAATTTTCGTAATTTTCCTTTTCGAAGTTTAAGGACTTGTAAAAAATTAAACATTATATTTGCATTTTTGGTCCTGAAAATTTTTGATAATCCGACATTGCCTCACAAAAACATTCATAACTCAATTAATATTCCACAAATTCCAATGCATATTTATATATTCTTAATCAAAATTAAACGCTCTTTAAGCTAAAACAAACTTTAATCATTTATCTCAAATAGTTTCCGAGATATTGAGGCTCAAGTTTGAAACTTTGTCTCAAATTTTGTAAAACCTTCTAAGCTGATTATTTGGAAAACGAAGCCCTAGGGCTCGGTGTCCCAATGGGGCTTTTTTGAAGCCCCAATCGAGATCTATAAATGGACAAAATTTGATACCAATAGCTGTTTTGGTTCCCTAAATATGTCCCTTTGAAATATTTGAAAATGAAATTTTCTTGCATACAATACCCCTTTGGAAAAATTTCAATTTTGATTTTTTGAGATTTTTTTATTTTTTGACTTCACTAATCGAAAGAGTGGGTTAAATTTAGCAGAAAAGAATTTTCGTAATTTTCCTTTTCGAAGTTTAAGGACTTGTAAAAAATTAAACATTATATTTGCATTTTTGGTCCTGAAAATTTTTGATAATCCGACATTGCCTCACAAAAACATTCATAACTCAATTAATATTCCACAAATTCCAATGCATATTTATATATTCTTAATCAAAATTAAACGCTCTTTAAGCTAAAACAAACTTTAATCATTTATCTCAAATAGTTTCCGAGATATTGAGGCTCAAGTTTGAAACTTTGTCTCAAATTTTGTAAAACCTTCTAAGCTGATTATTTGGAAAACGAAGCCCTAGGGCTCGGTGTCCCAATGGGGCTTTTTTGAAGCCCCAATCGAGATCTATAAATGGACAAAATTTGATACCAATAGCTGTTTTGGTTCCCTAAATATGTCCCTTTGAAATATTTGAAAATGAAATTTTCTTGCATACAATACCCCTTTGGAAAAATTTCAATTTTGATTTTTTGAGATTTTTTTATTTTTTGACTTCACTAATCGAAAGAGTGGGTTAAATTTAGCAGAAAAGAATTTTCGTAATTTTCCTTTTCGAAGTTTAAGGACTTGTAAAAAATTAAACATTATATTTGCATTTTTGGTCCTGAAAATTTTTGATAATCCGACATTGCCTCACAAAAACATTCATAACTCAATTAATATTCCACAAATTCCAATGCATATTTATATATTCTTAATCAAAATTAAACGCTCTTTAAGCTAAAACAAACTTTAATCATTTATCTCAAATAGTTTCCGAGATATTGAGGCTCAAGTTTGAAACTTTGTCTCAAATTTTGTAAAACCTAAGCTGATTATTTGGAAAACGAAGCCCTAGGGCTCGGTGTCCCAATGGGGCTTTTTTGAAGCCCCAATCGAGATCTATAAATGGACAAAATTTGATACCAATAGCTGTTTTGGTCCTTTGAAATATTTGAAAATGAAATTTTCTTGCATACAATACCCCTTTAGAAAAATTTCAATTTTGATTTTTTTAGATTTTTCAATTTTTGATTTTACCTTTCGAAAGAGGAGATCAAAATTAGTAGAAAATTATTATCGTGATTTGTCTTTTTGTGGTTTTAGGGCCAGTAAAAACTTAAAAAATTATTTTTGCATTCATCATCCAACATTGTCTCACAAAATAGCCCATACCTAAATCAATATTCCACAAATTCCAATGCATATTTATAGATTCGTAATCAAAATTAAATGCTCTTTAAGAAAAAACAAACTTGAATCATTAATCTCAATTAGTTTCTGAGATATTGAGCCTTAAAGTTGAAACTTTCAAATTTTGGAAAACCTTCAAAGCTCATTATCTCAAAAACGAAGCCCTAGGGCCAAGATATTTTGAATCAAAATTATTGTAACAATTCAAAAGTCTATAAAAATAACACCAATTCCTTAGGTTGTCGAATGTCCGCTGGCCCAAAACTGGAACAAACTAAAAGACATATACAACGACGACTCAGAAATCCTTCTGAAAATCCCACAATCCATCAAAAACTGCGCAGGGTCAGCTGCAGTGCACGACATCCAACTGAGCCAGCTACCCTTAAACTCCTTCAATACCATAATCCCACCCACCCCTGTCTTAAGATTTGATTGGTCAGGGAAAACACCCTTTATCTATGAAAGATCTACAATAAACACCCTCAAATCCCAACTAGATGGTACAGCCCAGATGGTATTTATGTGGTGGGAATTGCAAATGGACATTAATGGAGATCATTTGCTTAGTTGTGCCCCTTTTTGGGCCCACCCAAACAAGCAAACATTACCATGGAGAGACCATTGGATGCAAGCTGTATATTATTTGCCTCAAGAAGTAAAAGTAAAAAAAGATCAAGAGGTAGTTTTTACACTTACAACCAAAACAAATTAATATTAATTATTAATTTTAGCTACATCTTATAAGCTGTCATGATGAATATTCACTCTGGTTCAATTTAACAACAGATTTGAAGCTTACCAAGACTGATTATCTTAATCCTGTTTGCAACTGTGGCTTACATATTGCCTTTTCCAGAACCAGAATCGGCCAATTAAATGATTCAAAAAGAAACAAAAAATATTTACGAATTTTGGAAGACAACATCACTCCACAGACTGTTGTTTTGTTTCTAAGCGATGGATTCCATTATGGGTTGGTTGCTTCTAAATTAGGCGCTAAAAAGGTGTATTTTTTGGACACCAATCTACTCTCTAGAAGGGTATTGAAGGAATTTATCAATTATAACAACATTGAAAATGCTATTGTGCTTGAAAAGGCTGAAGACTTAAAATCAGTTGACTTAAAAACTGTTTCAATTGTGTTTGGGGAACCGTATTTCACTAGCACAATATTACCATGGGACAATTTACTGTTTTTGTATTTAAGAGACAGTATTAAGGCTATTTTGAATGAAAATGTACAAATTTTTCCTAAAAAATGCATAGTAAAAGCAGTGGCAGTTAAATTTGATGATTTGCACAAGATTCGAGAACCTCTTGGCGAATGTGAAGGGTTTAAAATGAAAAACTTTGATGATTTAATACAGGAATCAAGCAATATAAGTGACGATGATGTTGAGGCGCAACCTCTTTGGGAATATCCAGCGGTTGCTTTGAGTAATGAAGTAATTATAGCTGAAATTGATTTACTTACTGAACATCGGTCAATATTGGAGGCACAAGGCAATGTAAAATTGGAAAAGTAATGATTTATTAATATTAAATTTTGGTTTTTAATTGCTTTTTTATAATAGGAATTTGCCTTGCAATGGTTTGGCCTTATGGGTTGAATGGAGCTTGGATGATACCCCAAAAGGCACTGTAACAACAGGGCCTACAGAATCTATAGAAATAGGTAAAAAAATCCAATGGGACATGTATACCAGGCAAGGAGTTTGCCTATTTACCAGCAAATTGGCTCAAACATTGCAATATCATTTTACTTTTGATTTCAAAGATGGGAATATTACTTTTAAGTGTACTTAATAAAAAATAAATTGGTTTATTAATTAAATTAATTATTACAAGGTCCTGTAGCTCTACAATTCCTCTTTAAGTACTCTATAAACATTGGTAAAACCTTCTCCAAAATCCTACAACATTCTCCTTCGGTATAATCCAGCTTGTGCTGACACTCTCCTATGCTAAGCAGTGGACTTTCATTGAAAGCATCTACATCTTCTATTAATTCCAGCATTCTACTTTCGTTCCACTGGGTAGATTCATTAGCTGCCTCCCACAGTTTTACTGTGCTAAGGAACATTGGTTTTTTGAGGGTGATGAGGTATTTGCTTAAGAGTGGACGGCAAATAGGGTCTTCAAGGCAATTTTTGATGCGGTCGTTGTATCTTTCGATTTGTTGGAGGGTGAATTTTGGTTCTGCCATTTATTTTGCCTATAAAAAGATGATGATAGATAAATTATTAAAAACATATTGAATAATGTTGATGGGAAAATGTTGGAACTTATGGAGTGAAAAGAGGAAAATTAGGAGCTCATCATACTAGAATTTCAAACTTTCCCAGGGAAAAATACCGACATGGGAAATCAATAGAAAGGTTTGATCTCTGTCGTCCTAGTATTTACATCGCTCCGTCGTTTTTCATTTTTTTCTTGCTTTCAAACTCAAAATTAATTTGTGAATTTTCGCAACAGTTGTGCTTGGTTTGTGATCTACGCGTTCTGTGAATTGTTCGTGTTTTTAACGGCAGCAAATTGGTTATTATTAGTTACTTATCCCATTGTTCTCAGTCTGCATTGCTTCAAAAGTACCAAGGTTACTTGGATAAAAAATTGAGGTACCTGTTTAAATTGTTTGAATACATTATTTGGATAAATTTATTTAAATTAAAAAAAAAAGGAACTGCAACGAGTGGTATAGATTACTGAAAGCAAAAAAATCTATAGTGCGTCTTATCTAATTTGAGCACTATTGCCATATATAGCCTGTCCCATATTACATTCAGCTTGCGGCTCAAATTATTGAGAACAATGTCGGCGTGCTCTAAATGTCGTATCAATTTGACAGATAAAGAGGTGGATTACAAGATAATTTGTGACTTCTGTGGGGCCTGGAATTGCATGGCCTGTTCAAGGTTCTCCATCTCAGAGGCTCAGGTGACCCGGTTAAAATCCAGAGTAATGCTTTATGCATGCAGTGGCTGTGTAAATTCCGTGAAGTCGCTTGGTAATGATGTTGGCGGCGGCTTGAAAGTGCTAATCAGAAATATCACCAGTGAGGTGTGTGACACCACACACTCTACACTAAACTTGCAACTAATTATGATGATTTAAAGTTGAAACTGGATGGTGTTACTGACAGTGTTGGAGAAATCAAAGCCACTCTTTCTTCACTGGAAAAGCCAAACACTTCTGCAGTCAATAATATTTCGGAAATAGACAATACTAGCGTTATCATACCCAACTCAGCGGCATCTGCTGTTTATGATATGAAGCTAAGGGAACTGGAACAAAGTAACAAAGATTTACAGACGAAGTTACTCAAACTTGAGAATGAGTTCCAGCTGCTTACTGCAACCCTGAATTCTATGAAAACTGCATCAAGCTGCTCAGGTTCTTCGCAAACCCCATCTCAGTTTCCTCCTAATCTGCAGGCGGTACCCATCAGGAATGAATCAAGAAGCTTTCAGTCATCTAATAGCCTGCAACTAGCTGGACAGCAAAAGTCCCAGCGACCAATCCGCAGCATAGAGCGCCAATCAGTGCCTAATCCTGTGAGAGTATCAGACTGCTCAAGTAATAATCCTGTATTAATCGGCACAGGTGCTGATAGAGGTCTTTTTTCTGCAGGTGAGAGACGCCAGTGGCTATATCTGGGTCGATGTGATCCGAGTACCACTGAGGAACAGATCTCTAACTATTTGAAGAATCAGCTCTTAAAATTGGGGTTAAAGAATCACTTTTGAAGGGCCTGCTGGATCCTAACCTCTGGCCAGTAGGCATTGCTGTCAAGGAGTTTCATCCTCGTCGTATGGGGGCAAAACCGTCCAATGCAAATTTTCAGAGAGGAGACAGAGAGGACCAGTCTCGTTAGATTGTGCTACCTTTCTCTACCAAAATGTAAGAGGCTTAAAAACCAAACTCAAAGATGCTTTCTGTGCGGCTCGCGCCGAGTCTTTCTCAGTTATTGCACTTACGGAAACCTGGCTAGACTGTAGTATCTGTGATGCCGAATTTCTTGACTCGCGTTACACGGTTTATCGCTCTGATAGAAGCAGTCTCAACAGTACTAAAAGCCGTGGAGTTGGGGTCCTTCTGGCAGTAAATAATTGCCTAAAATCTCATCGCCTGTCAATTGGTGAAGCATCGGTGGAGGAAACGTGGGTGTCTGTGACGCTGGGTGACATGGTCTTCTGTATTGGCTGTGTCTACATTCCACCTACCATGGATGTGTTCCATTATGAAAACCATTTGAAATCAGTTGCTAGTGCCTGTGAAATGTTTGATAATGTGCTTGTTCTTGGTGATTATAATCTTTCCCAAATAACGTGGTCCACTAGTGAGGATCTCGAGGAGGATCTCTTGGGTTTATTACCTGGAAATGTAAGGACAACTAAGGAAATATTGTTATGCGATAGTACTGCTTCTCTCAATCTGTCTCAATACAATGGGGTGGCTAACGATCATGGTTCAATACTGGATCTATCCTTTGCCAACTTTGGGCCTATTTCACTTGTAACATCTGACGGTCTGGTGGGCTGTGATCGTTATCACCCAGCTCTAGAGTTTTCAATACAAATTTCTGAAGCCTCTTAATTATTTTTCTTATGACTTTAAAAATGCCAATTTTGATTTAGTTAATGAATATTTTCTTTCCTTTGATTGGCGATCCATTATGATGGAGGATCTAAACGAAACTGTTAAGAGCTTTTACTCGGTACTGTTCGACTGCTTTAATATGTTTGTTCCTATAAAGGCACATTCTTACAGCGACAAGTTTCCTATTTGGTTCTCTAAAGAATTGAAAATTCTGATTTTTCAAAAGAAAATTGCTCACAAACGTTTCAAGCGGTCGAATAGTGGTTTGGATTACTTTGCATTTAGTACACTTCGGAGAGATTGTAAAAACCTCACCAAAGAGTGTTACAAATTATACATAAGTGATACTGAAAGAGCCATAGGCACCAATATGAAAATTTTTTGGAACTTTATTCACTCCCAATCTAATCAGGGTACTATTCTTAAGAAAATGTTTCTTGCCTCAGAAAAGGCGTCCAACGGTAATGACATAGCTAATCTTTTTGCTGTCTATTTCTCCTCCGTTTATAACCCTCAGAGAAATTTCGACGCTGGAACCTTTGCTGATCGATTTGAAAATGTTTCAAGCATTGTCATAGATCCAACCGATATTGAGAGGGCTTTAACGCAATTGGACATCAACAAGTCTGCAGGACCTGATGGTATTCCCAACAGAGTACTAAAATCTTGTTCTAACACTTTGTATCTTCCTCTATTTAATATTTTCAACAAATCATTATCTTCTGGATTTTTTCCAGAAATGTGGAAGCTCTCCTACGTTTGTCCTATTTACAAGTCAGACAGCAAAAATGATGTAACAAAATTATTTGAGTAGTGCGTGGAAGAAATTCTCTCAAAAATATTTCATCAGATTGTGATCAGTCAACAGCACGGTTTTACAGCCGGTAGATCCATTGAGACGAACCTGTTTCTCTTTACAACATTTATAAATTCATCATTTGCTAATAATGCAGAAACTCATGCAATATATACTGACTTCAGTAAAGCCTTTGATAAGGTAAATCACAACATCCTTCTCTCAAAGCTTTCAAGTTTCGGCGTTTCTGGGTCCTTATTCTTGAAACAGGGGAGCAGCATTCCCAGGAGAACAAGTGTTTCATCTTTATTACTTATATTATCATTTGCATATAATTGAGAAAGACGGAACACTTGTTCTCCTGGGAATGTTGCTCCCCTGTTTCAAGAATAAGGAATATGGACATTTACTTTCATGGATGAAATCATATCTTACTAACAGAATGCAACAAGTCAAGATCGATGGCTATCTTTCTTCTTTTTTCCATGCATCCTCTGGGGTACCTACCCCAAGGTTCTCACTTGGGCCCCCTTCTATTCAGCTTGTTTATCAACGATTTAGGATCGTTGCTCTCCTCAGATTTTTTACTTTTTGCTGATGATTGTATCGTCAGGTGACATCAGCTCAAGACATACTTATTTTGCAAAATGATCTTAACATCGTTCACGATTGGTGTCAGCTTAATCACATGTCCCTCAAAATCGATAAGTGCTGTTGTATAAGATTCAGTAGACGCACCCATAGTGTTCCCTTGCAGTATTACTTAAACAATGTTCGCTTCTCTGAAGTTTCTATCATTAAAGATCTTGGTGTCTATCTAGATACTAGGCTAATGTTCACTGAGCATTTTGAAGTGGTAATAATTGGCAGGGCTAATAAAATGTTGGGTTTTATTAAGAGAGCTACAAGGGACTTTACCAGTATACGGCCTATCAAAATTCTTTACACATCACTGGTCAGGTCCGTTCTTGAATTTTCATGCATAGTTTGGTCACCTTACTATCAGATCCACATCAATAGGCTTGAGAGTGTTCAACACAAATTTATCAAGTTTGCAAGGTACAAACTTTCTTCGAGTGGTGTGATTCTCAGTGATGACCTGACTATGACTTATTTAGACTTATCTACTCTTGTTCGCAGAAGGGAATATTTTGATGCCTGTTTTGCATTTAAAATCCTTAACTACTACATAAAAAGCCACGAATGTCTTGAATGTTTTAATCTACACATTCAAAGTTATCAGACACGAAGTAAATCTTTACTGCACATTCCTTACTGTCGAACCTGGTACTTACTATTCAGTCCTGTGAATAGAATATCTGCCAATGTAAATAAGTTCTGTGAGGGCCTTGAGTTCTTTGGTTTATCTCTGGATAAATTTAAGACGAAAGCCAGGAGAATTGTTTTAGGTTAGATTTTTTTAGTTTTAAACTCTGTTCAACTTAAAATGTATTTTTCTTATATGTAAATAAATAAATAAATAAATAAATCAACTCGCAAAATCCAAATTAGAAAATGCATCGTCTTATGTTTTATTCTTTTTTCTGGAAAAGTATCCAAGGGAAAACCATGAGATTTTCAGGAGAGAAAGAAGAGAGTTAGGAGCTCATCATACTAAAATTTCAAACTTTTCCAGTGAAAAATAACCACGTGGGAAATCGATGAATATTGACTTGCCAGGCTTTATGAACTACAGAGAATATGGCCCTTCACACACCTCTAGTAGGTATGGCCTTGATATTCCAATAAATGAATGATTCATTTACTGATGAGTTTTTGCTCACTCACTAATAATTTATAAATTTTACTTTAATTTCAATCTGATCTTAGCTTTATTTAATCAATCAACATTATTTAAACAAAAAATTTCCTCCCTAACTTCCTTAGATCTATTTTTGTCAAATTCAAACCGATCAAAGAACCCTTTTAACAACACCGCATGCCTTTCGGGATTATTCAAATGCCCATGATGGGTGCCTTCTACAATATGAGCCTCCGATTTTTGCAGCACCCGCTTCAATTCCTGGAAAATTTCCTTGGCAAACGTCCGTTGAGTGAATTTGGACAAGAAAACCGGACAGGAAATGTTGGGCGAGTGTCTTATATACTCCTCTTGGGAAAACGTGTATAAATCTATAGATTTAAGTCTAGGATCTCTAGTGAAATAATATTTGCCTGGATTAGTTTGGCTTAGGGCAACATTTCTATGCATTATAAACTCAGTGTTAGTTAAATCTATTGAGCCTCCATGTGGTTTATGGATTTTTTGTTTAATTTCTTCTATAAAATAACTAGGAGGCTCAACTTTGTCAAAACTAAATTGATTGTTCTTAGGAAAATCTTCAATTGCCTTCGCCATAAGATCAAGGTAGTTGAACAAAATCAATCCGTCTATGCAAGCCAGGAAATCTACACTTAAAACAGGCCTGATGTCAGTGGGGCCCCACCATTTGCCTCGGATTTCGCCCCACGGTACCGGTATAGCGACTTCTTGCCACAATTTGCCGCTCGAATATTTGCGTATCAGTTGCAACAACATTTCAAGCAGACTAATTAAGACCTTGAATTTAAGCTAATAATTCTTATCAGCGCTGACATTGTACAATAATAATTATCATAACGTGTTTGCCTTGGAATTTACAGTCTACTATCGACAGTAGATTTGCAATATTTGACCGACCATTTGCCTCCGGAAAAATGTAGAAGGCTGGTAGTTTCTGCAAATATTACTTTACAAACAATTTTTTCACTCAAAAAACTAAGGAGAGTAGAAAGTTGAAATTTTCGGGTCCTTTTCCTAATGATTCAATGTAAAAAATACTAAAAACTCAAAGCGATTGAGTTATTATTAATGGAGTTACGATTTTTTGAAAATAATGATGTTTTGTAAAGTAAGACTTTACAAACAATTTTTTCACTTAAAAACTAAAGTGAGTGGAAAGTTGAAATTTTGGGGACTTTTTCTTAAAGGTTCAATGCAAAAAATACCAAAAACTCAAAGCCATTGAGTTATTATTAATGGAGTTACGATTTTTTGAAAATAATGATGTTTTATAAAGTAAGACTTTACAAACAATTTTTTCACTCAAAAACTAAGGGGAGTAGAAAGTTGAAATTTTAGGGTCTTTTTTCTAATGATTCAGTGTAAAAAATGTCAAAAACTCAAAGCGACTGAGTTATTATTAATGGAGTTACGATTTTTTGAAAATAATGATGTTTTGTAAAGTAAGACTTTACAAACAATTTTTTCACTCAAAAACTAAAGTGAGTGGAAAGTTGAAATTTTGGGGACTTTTTCCTAAAGGTTCAATGCAAAAAATACCAAAAACTCAAAGCCATTGAGTTATTATTAATGGAGTTACGATTTTTTGAAAATAATGATGTTTTATAAAGTAAGACTTTACAAACAATTTTTTCACTCAAAAACTAAGGGGAGTAGAAAGTTGAAATTTTAGGGTCTTTTTTCTAATGATTCAGTGTAAAAAATGTCAAAAACTCAAAGCGATTGAGTTATTATTAATGGAGTTACGATTTTTTGAAAATAATGATGTTTTGTAAAGTAAGACTTTACAAACAATTTTTTCACTCAAAAACTAAAGTGAGTGGAAAGTTGAAATTTTGGGGATTTTTTCCTTAAGGTTCAATGTGAAAAATACCAAAAACTCAAAGCCATTGAGTTATTATTAATGGAGTTACGATTTTTTGAAAATAATGATGTTTTATAAAGTAAGACTTTACAAACAATTGTTTCACTCAAAAACTAAGGTGAGTAGAAAGTTGAAATTTTAGGGTCTTTTTTCTAATGATTCAGTGTAAAAAATGTCAAAAACTCAAAGCGATTGAGTTATTATTAATGGAGTTACGATTTTTTGAAAATAATGATGTTTTATAAAGTAAGACTTTACAAACAATTTTTTCACTCAAAAACTAAGGGGAGTAGAAAGTTGAAATTTTAGGGTCTTTTTTCTAATGATTCAGTGTAAAAAATGTCAAAAACTCAAAGCGATTGAGTTATTATTAATGGAGTTACGATTTTTTGAAAATAATGATGTTTTATAAAGTAAGACTTTACAAACAATTTTTTCACTCAAAAACTAAGGGAAGTAGAAAGTTGAAATTTTAGGGTCTTTTTTCTAATGATTCAGTGTAAAAAATGTCAAAAACTCAAAGCGATTGAGTTATTATTAATGGAGTTACGATTTTTTGAAAATAATGATGTTTTGTAAAGTAAGACTTTACAAACAATTTTTTCACTCAAAAACTAAGGGGAGTAGAAAGTTGAAATTTTAGGGTCTTTTTTCTAATGATTCAGTGTAAAAAATGTCAAAAACTCAAAGCGATTGAGTTATTATTAATGGAGTTACGATTTTTTGAAAATAATGATGTTTTGTAAAGTAAGACTTTACAAACAATTTTTTCACTCAAAAACTAAAGTGAGTGGAAAGTTGAACTTTTGGGGATTTTTTCCTTAAGGTTCAATGTGAAAAATACCAAAAACTCAAAGCCATTGAGTTATTATTAATGGAGTTACGATTTTTTGAAAATAATGATGTTTTGTAAAGTAAGACTTTACAAACAATTTTTTCACTCAAAAACTAAGGGGAGTAGAAAGTTGAAATTTTAGGGTCTTTTTTCTAATGATTCAGTGTAAAAAATGTCAAAAACTCAAAGCGATTGAGTTATTATTAATGGAGTTACGATTTTTTGAAAATAATGATGTTTTGTAAAGTAAGACTTTACAAACAATTTTTTCACTCAAAAACTAAAGTGAGTGGAAAGTTGAAATTTTGGGGATTTTTTCCTTAAGGTTCAATGTGAAAAATACCAAAAACTCAAAGCCATTGAGTTATTAATAATGGAGTTACGATTTTTTGAAAATAATGATGTTTTGTAAAGTAAGACTTTACAAACAATTTTTTCACTCAAAAACTAAGGGGAGTAGAAAGTTGAAATTTTAGGGTCTTTTTTCTAATGATTCAGTGTAAAAAATGTCAAAAACTCAAAGCGATTGAGTTATTATTAATGGAGTTACGATTTTTTGAAAATAATGATGTTTTGTAAAGTAAGACTTTACAAACAATTTTTTCACTTAAAAACTAAAGTGAGTGGAAAGTTGAAATTTTGGGGACTTTTTCCTAAAGGTTCAATGCAAAAAATACCAAAAACTCAAAGCCATTGAGTTATTATTAATGGAGTTACGATTTTTTGAAAATAATGATGTTTTGTAAAGTAAGACTTTACAAACAATTTTTTCACTCAAAAACTAAAGTGAGTGGAAAGTTGAAATTTTGGGGATTTTTTC